TGTGACGAGGGCAGCTTTTTGTCTTGCAGAGGTTGGCTCCTGCCAAGGCCTGCCCAGCCACGGGTGTCCCCCATCACACCACACACCTCAAGGCCCAAGGGGAGGGTGACAGCAAAGCCCCTCCTCAGTGGCGCAGCATCACACCTGCCCTGGAATCATCCTGTGTGCCCAGCCGAGAGCTAATGCTCTGTCAGGTAGTGGCACGTTACGGGGGAGAGCAGAGAGAACGCCACAACGCTCCAGACCCCTCAAACTCTCCAGATGGCCACACCCTGTGTCACACTAACGTTTCTCTCCCCCCTCACCCCACTAGATCCCAGAGGTGAAGACCAGGTTCTCCCCCAACCCTTCTGCTGTTTTCCAGGCGCCGTCGCGGATCCTCAACGTGTGAACCTGGACCCTCCTCACACCCAGGCAGCTTAAACGCAGTGTTTCTGTTAAGAAGTATCACTATGCAATTTTTATGAGGAGTGTTAAGATCAAAGAACTGGTATTATCAAAAACAGCTCCAGTGATTAATGATATGCACACACACTTTCTGTTAACACAACAAACCGCAAAGCGCTTGGTTCAGAACTGGCAAAACACGCTGCGAGGAGTGACCTAGTTTTTCACGGGAGCAGGTTCATTACTATGCCAGCTGGCGTCACATTAGGAGATTGACTTTGGGCAGCAAAGGCAGTACTACGGGCAACATCCCTACGCTTAACTACATGGGGTGGGAGGGAAAACAATCACAAGTGGGATGGATAATTAAAACCAAAAAGAGTCTGATTTAGCAGCACCCTCTAAGTAGTCCAGTGAAAGACAGGGAGTGTCTGGCTGACTTCTGAGCTTCTTGAAGGATTTTGGAAATAGGACCTCAAGTGACATCACCAGAAACTATAGCATCAAAGAGGCTGGTCTGAACTTCCAGAACTTCTGAACTGCTCCAAACTGACACAGGAGCAAGAGGGGCCTCAACTTTGGGAGACAGCCCTGAGAGCAATGCACCAGCCTGGCTGGGAGTGGATTGCATGGACAGAGTCAGCCAGGCACCTGCCAGACTCCAGAGGGTCTAAGATGTTTATGTAATTTGTATAGCTGTTAGGGTGAGTGTAAATATTGTATATGGATTTTACCTAAAGCAATTTGTGATCCTTTAATGAAAAGGACATGCTTATACTTTTAATAAATGTTACCTCTTTGCATATGCAAGGTGGAAAATATTGCCTTGAAATTCCTAAATTATTGCCTGTATATTGGTAATGCTAATGCTAGGAACAACCAGAAGCGAATGTTATTTAGAAACTCTTAAAGAAAAATGTAACGTAGAATGTAATACATCCTTCATTTTTAAGATAGGCCATTTTAAGTATCATTATTCTGAAGCTAATTTTTTTAGATTGGTGTGCATTTAACTTTTGCTGAGGTACATGTGTTTTAAGAAAACATTTTTTAGCCTTTGTTCATTGAGACTGTAGTGGGTTTACAGTTTCTATCGCAACGACTTATGCAATATAATTAGTCTACTGCTTATTTCATGGGTTTACTAACTATGTTCGGGGGGAAAAAAATCGAAAAACTTTTACTTTATGTGTTTGCAACACACAGATGCGTTGGCTAGAATGAAAGGAAACTATCCTCAGACTTGAACACTGATCAGATATTCATTCATCTGTAATGAAATAGACTTTAACACAGGAGAATTTTTTTCTTAACCTTCTTACTAGCTGAAGTTTAAGGCAAATTTAATGAATTCTGGGGACTCTGCAAACACGTATGCATTGCTGATAATTCCCAGAGGAACGTACAGTAATACCAGTGCTTGCCAAAATAATTTTTCAGGAGATGCATTTTTCTCGAAATTCATTTGAAACATTCAAACTGTACTACAGGTTTTGCATGTTAAATGTTTCTAAGAATTCAATCTGCTTGTTTAATCTCTTTATAATGTTTTTAACAGTTTTGTTCAAAGAATTTAAGTTCATTTAAATCCTGGACTTTATTAACAGAAAAAGAAAAAAAGAAAATAAGAAAAAAAGGATAAATTGTCTATTCAGTTTCTCTTCTCAATTCACTGTATTTCTTAAAAAAAATCAACCCAGTTGTAAACAAACTGGTAATATAATAAGCTTGTATTTTATCAAATGGACTGGTTTAATTTAATAAATTAAAATGTATTTTGGCTACTGGTTCTTTCCCAAATTTTTTTTTCGTTGTAAACATAACCCTCGGGTAATCAATTTGTCACTGCATTTCTCTCTCACACAGCTGCACATGCAGGATACCATGTCAGGGAGATGCCCAACTGCATTCACAGCCATCAGCAGTCAATCCGTTACTCCTCAAACTTATCCGCAGGCACAGACCCCCAGCCAGAATGACTTCCAAGCCACATTTCAAGCTGTGGCCTGACTGCTGATTTGAAAGTGCAACTGCTTTCCAAAGGGAAGCTATTGCTCTGCAGAATTCATAATCGCTTATGGGATTTTTCTCCAACATTTTCAAAGGGAAAGCAAACTGTTCAGCAAGCAGTCCATCAGCATGAAGGGGAAAAGGGGATGGACCAACGATACCAGTTTGCTACCTTTACTATCGAACAGAGGCTTGATCTGCTCTGATGCAGGTGCCATGCTCTCAAGACTCCCTTTTAGTGGTGCCCACAATGTGCCCGTTAACAGAAGGGGACAGGCAACTTGTGTTTCACCAAAGTTTCACTCTGTCTTCTCACAGAGATCATGGGAAAATGGTGCTAGCTTTGAATTTTAAGAGATCATTGCAAGATTTCAGGGAGTGCAGGTGCTGAAGGTACAACCAGCTTCCCTAGATAGTGCGATGTCAGCTCTTCTAGCCATGCCTCAGAGACTTCCAGGAGAAAGCCAAAGGCTTATGAGCTGTTGCCTGGCTCCAACTACAGGAGGGGTGAATGGAGGGAAAACCAAGCAGGTACTTACCATCGCAAGGGACAGGGTGAAGCAATTGGCTGCTGATGCAACATACCTGACTTTGCATGGTAAGTGCCTGCCTCAGCCAAATTGAAAGGTAACACCAAGTTCCTCTGAAGAGGGCAAACCTACACAGGTTTTGAAGGCTTCAGGGAGTCACAATACCAGGACTGCTTCAACATTGCTCACACTAGGGTTTGTCTTCCCAATTGCTCTGGGTTCACATCTAAGTTCATCAAGGCTTTCCAGCTGTGAATCACACTGCAGAGACAAGGGTTGTTTGACACAAAGAAACATCCTTTAAAAGGAAAGTTTTACACTTGACACATTATAATTTACTACCTATAGGGTGCCACTGAACTTGCTTATTTCATTCCATCTTGTTGGCACCTGGTCTGTTGGGATGCTGAGAATGAGTTTTGTGCCAGCTGCATCCACTGTGCCAGGTAGCTGTGAACACCTGCACTTCCACATGCTCAGGTGAAGCTCTGGTGTAGGAAATACTCCATTACTCAGGACAGTTCTCATTACCTGAACTTGAAAAGTTCAAAAGCAGCACATTAGTGATTTGCCTGGTTTCATAAACTGTATGTTTCTCTTCCCATCGCACTAATTTCTTGAAGGTTGAACAATCAGATTTAAGCTGATCACCTCTTATTCACACCGATTATCTTGGCCACCGCAGTAACGTAGACCCTAGAGACCAACCTGATTTGCCACAAATGGATGTTGGTGCCATGGAGCCTGGAGAGGCTGTTTGCTTTCAGGGCAGAGATGGCACAGAAGGGATGGATGATCCCTTGTTCCTGGTGGCAGAGGCTTTGGTGTCACCAAGACTGCACCCTGGGACTCAGACACACTGCTGGCTCCCATGCCAGCTCTGTGTGCAAATACCTTCATTTCTAAAGGGGATGGTCCTGGGCACGCTGCAGCTGACTGCCACGTCCCAGAGATGTGTTCATGTAGACAAGGGCAGGGCCACAGCAGCCATGAGGGGAGGCATCAGGGGGTTCGTGTCAAGGGCCCAGCCTAGGGTGCAGTCAGCCTCTCTCTTGGCCACGTCACTGTCATTTGTTTGGCTCCGGCGGTGTAAAGGCATTGCACTGTGGGCTTCTTTGGGAGGCGCTTTTATCAGATTTTGTAGAAACGAGTTTTGCAGTATTTTGAAAGACAACCGAGCATTAAGTCTGCTCACAGACACCTATGATTCCTCCCCACAGCCTTGGGAAAATGAAGTTAACATTTTTCTTTTTCTCCATTTCTTTTTGTACTGGGTGCCCAGGTGCTGGCTGTGGGGTCTCTGTGAGGTGAGGCCAGGGTTGCCCCATGCTGGACACAGGCAGTTCCAGTGGCCCCGGGGCAGCCAAGGGAGCTGAGCCCCTCAGGGGAGCCAGCCAGAGCTTCAGAAAGGGAGGAGGAAGGACTGGCGAAGAGGGACTGGTAAGGAAAACCCCCCCATTCCCCTGTGCCTCTCTCAGGGTGAGAGGAGGTGGGGGGTCAGGAATGAAGGACTCAAGTCTTAGGAAAAAAGGCATGATGGAGAAAGGTGAGGTTTTCTGTCTTTGTTTCTCACCATCCAACTCTATTCTAACTGGCAATAAATACAACTAATTTTCCCCAGGTTGAGCCTGTTTTGCCTATGACAGTAACTGGTACACAATGTCCCTGTTTTTATCTTGACCCACAATTTTTTTCATCTTACTTCCTCCCCCTGTTCTGCTGAAGGGGAGTGAGAGAGGCTGGGTGGGCGTCTGGCAGCCAGCCAACATCAACCCACCCCGCTTTTCAATCTTCCACACAAGCCAATTACTTGCTGTTTAAACAGGCTGTTCTGGAGGATGAAAAGTTGGAGGAGCTAAGCTTGCTGAGCTCCTGCCTTCCCTTCCCCCAACCTCCAAACCCAAGAGCTTTTTAAAATAGCTAGAAAAGGGAAAAATTACCTTTTCTTTCGGATCAATTCCACAACTACCAATTTTTTTACCCAGAACTAACAAAAACATTCTGAATATATAGAGCACACAAAAATTGTGGATTTGGAGAAATTTCGAGTGACAGGTGACAGTCAAGACAATCCTAGCACAGCTAATAAAAGAATTTATTGTAAACATACGTATCTTACACAATTATACAGTATAATACAGATAACATGAAGGATTTAAACACTCAGCATTACAAATAGGGGCAATATTTGTAAAGAGATCTTTAACTTGTATCGACTCTTTAGAAAGCCAGAGAAATATACCGTAACATTTCAACACACCATATTATCTGTAGTGTTCCACACACACCTGAATGGGTGCGTGAAATTTCACCACCTCTAACTCATCTCCAAGCAATTCCCACAGGAACTTCTCGCCAACAAATTTTTCTCCCACCACTTTTCAAAATTCAAAGAACTCGTTGCAAATGTTTTCTATATCTGAAGGACTAATCAAATGTGTTATTTTCTATCTGCTTTTAACACGTTTATTTTTCTTCAGCAAACTTTATATATTATTAATACAGCATCTCCTAGGAGAATAACCTGTGGTTGCTCAGAAATGTAGCAATATATCTCCTCTGCAAGAACCCCATTAAGAACAAGGGGCATTACCTGCCTGCTTCAGGGCCAGGTTCAGGACTCATTCCGAAACTCCATTCCTCACAGAAAAGCAGGACACAGGCAAGGAAGCCACAATTTGCAAACAGATGCCCAAAGATGAGCTCTTGCATCCTCAAGAGCTGATCTGGGTGTATCAAAATCCCAGAAACTAAGCCCACAAGAGATGGGGGCTGGAAATGCATGTGTCATTGCAGAAGATCATAGCATGACTGAGTTTTCCCAAAAGGCTGTTCCCATACAACCTGCAGGCTGTCATAGCAATAGCAACAGATATCTTGAAAATGCCCTTCTCTTTTGTAAAAGCTGTGTACAGAGGCGCCTGAAAGCAGTATGCACTGTGAGTTCACTACAGCCTACGAATAAAGTGTGGGGCCTGCAGTCCCCCAGCTACCTGGATTCCTCCCGACTCTCAACACTGAGCTCAATCAGAATCACCACTGCTCGACTCCTTCACGCTGACCTCAGCTGAAAAACTGTCAGGACTAAGCTGTGCACTTTACTCGTGCAGGCAGTCCTGCACTCAGCTCACCTGAGCAAGTCAGGATTATCTTTTGAATCCAGAGCATCCAAAATGCCCTTTCTAGGGGGCATTTAAGTCCTTCTCTGAATGCTGTTTGGACTTCATCCACTGGTCCCACTTCCTTGATTCAAGGGTCAGGTTCTGCCAACTCTTATATTCAAGCAAACTGTAACTCCCCATTAGCTCTGATGAACTGAGAGGGGCCTTCCTGCAGACCCTAATTCTAAAAGGTGAAGACAGGCAGCGCCTCATCTGAGGTACACAGTACCCTCTTCAGTTTAAGAACTGCATCAAACCTACACTACTCTCCTTGGAAGCCTGAAACCACCAACTGAACCATCTTCCACAGATCCTACACACTACTGGAGTTACCATCACCTGTCTTCTAGCCCCAAAAAAGCACCAAAAGATAACATTTTGAAGATTTCTGTTCCTACCCCAGGCCAGGAAAGATAACTGTAGTTTAATGTTTATAAAAGGCTTTGTATTGTCAAAGCACGGCACCAACAAGAGCGAGGCCTCAGTACACCCCTGTGAGGTAGGTATCCTGCTCCCCATGCTCAGAGATGGGGAAACTGAGGCACAGAGTGATTAAATCAAAGGCCATGCAGCAGATCAGAGACCCAGCTGAGATCAGCGCATTGGAGGTTCTGGCTGTTTGACCCATGCTCAACCCACATGACAGCACTGCCTCACAAAACAAGCACCCTGAAAGCATGACAGTCCAACAGGAGTCCCACCAACTTTACAATGGCTTATTCACACTACTAGCAAGCACCCATGGGGCAGGACAAAGGGGTGGTGGGTGTGGGGTGGTCAAGATGTTGACAGCAAAGCCTTCTTCATCAAAGTGTTGACAGACAGGCTGCAGACACGTCTCCTACATCAGTGATGTTCCTGAGACAGTTAAGTGCTGGGGTTAGTAGCAGAACTTATTCCTGCAGTCAAGACATCAGAGGAGCTCCCCACAAGCAGAAAAATCTCTGATTTTTTGATCCTATCAGGCCTGTGTTAAGCAGAACTTAAGCCAAAGTGGTGCTGCTCCCACAGCACTTCACAGTCCAAGCTGATCATTAGTGAATGCTGTCAAAACATAAAGACTTGTACAACACAGCTGGCCACCTGCCCTCCAACACACTCCAAACCTCCTGGCAGCCCAAGGAGGCACTCACTGGGCAAGCAAAGGTTTTCAGCCAGTCCAAGCCCACAAACATGGAATACTGTCCTTGCTCCTCTCCCTTCCCCTGCAGGACAAGTGGTCAGTCAAATCTTCCCAAGCCTGACCATGGTTTGCTCATCTTCACTGAGCATGTGCCAGTCTACCCCTTCTGAGGTGATAAAGGTGGCATCTGACACCTCTAGAGAGGCAAAGAATTCAGTTAGGTGATACATAGCTGCATAAGCTAACAATAAGCCTACCCAGCTGTGTTCTCAGTCACACATATTATGCTCAAGCAGGACTGGCAGAATTTCTTGCAGCCATCAGCTTTCTGCTCCCCCCCAGCCAAATCTAACCAATAAACCCACCCATCTACTGAAGTGGCCCACCTTTAAAAGCTGCATTTGACTTTTCTCATATTCAGAGTGCCAAAGCAACTGTTCTGCCCACTGCATGGGGACACAACGTGTATATAGACTGCATCAAAAACCAATTTCTTTTCTTAAAAAAAAAGAAATAAAAAGTTCAGTCTCATCAATACAGCTGTCTCAGAGGGACCAGGCCTGTGGAGTCTCACAGCTAGCAATTCAATGCAAACTGACAATGTTTGTTCAGCCACTGAACATACACTTACCAAGTAAACACTGACATTTAACAACTTGATTTGGAAAAGAGCATCATTTTGTTGCATTAAGGTGCATCTTTAATTGGAGGTAACAATCTAGTAGCCCAATGTTATAAATGTATGTAATTGTGTCCTATAGAAATACTGGATTTGTCAACCCAACTTCAGTCATAAATCCACTGTTCCTGTGGCATCTTCTCTGCTCTATTTCATTGTTCCTCATTTAGTATCTTCATATGTTTGTTTGTGAGGAAGTCAAGAAAGGGAATATTACAGATGGCTTTGTGAATATTCATCACTGTGATCTCTCTTGGAGTCCTGCCGGGAATGAAGGCATCAGAGATGCTGTTATAATACATAAAAAGACATGTGTTCATAAAGCAGCAAGTCAATAAATTTACTAACCAGGGGAATAACACACACCCCACCCCACCCCCCAATCCATTAAAAAAAAGGATAAATGAGCAGGTGTTAGAACAACACAGGAAAAGCACAAAAAAAGCCACTCTCAAGTGACTGGGAGAAACATCTTGGGCACTGGGACAGAAAAATCAAGTGCTGAAGTTAGCACAGACTATAGATATATATTTCTATATATAACATACATATATTTAATATATTATATAAACATTTCATATTATATAAACATTTCTATATTGCATACAAGTAAGTATTTAACCTAATCATTTTCTCATAGTGTTAGTGGTTTATTTTTGTTTTGTTGGTTTTTTTTTTTCAACTTCAAGCTATCCCAAATCATGCTGCTGAACAGAAATCAAAATGTGGCCTAATCGTTATCATAAAAATCACTCGGTATCTCAGCCAGAAAAAGTATATCAGTAAAACAGAAAAGGGAGTATTTAGGTTGATTAAGTTCTGGCAAGCCATGGGTAAGCAGTCTACATGGTAACCTCAGATGGAAAAGAATGAGAAGGTCTTTCCAATGTAGCCTATAGAAACAGGTCATCTGCCTTTGAACATGACAGCACCAAAGAATCTTGCCTCTGGTTTTAATGTTGTCTATGTTTCCATCCTTTGCTACTATGGAGCTAGGAGATGAGAAACCCCCTCATAAGGCTTGGGTCTTCCCAGAATATAGTTTATAAATTCCCTCACTTACATGGTTGGAGCCACACAAAATCTCACTAAATTCCTCAAGCAGTTCAGCCCTTAGTGCTGGCATAAGTGGTCCAAGAAGAAACAAGCTGCTGTACCTGTTGTGAGGGGCTGTCTGGTATGCCACAGCCAGCGCTTGCCGCAGGATGTCACTCATCAGCTGTTCAGTGGCCTGTGACAAAAGACATCAGGAGACAGCATTATGAAAAGAGGAAAGGAAAATGATATTTAGTCAAGTATCAGTGGAAGAGCAGCTGAAGTTCTGGCTCAATTCAATCCTGTATTCGATCAGCAGAGGGCAGTTCAAGATGCCCAAGTGAGTTTTATTGGCACAGTAGTAAGAACTGAGTACATTAAACAGAAAGAAAGAGACGTATAGATGCACAGAGCAGTCTGGTTTCTCTCTGGACCTGCACAGTAGTATGTGTGCAGCAGGGTGGATCCAGTGTTCCAGAGCCTGTGCTTCAGAGAGCATTTTAGGGCCCTTCCCCTCACACACCAGAGCTTGTTTTGTCCATGGCAGATTCCAGGTATGCTCCAGGGAGCTGGTATATGCTTGTTGGCCACTCCCTGTGGTCACCAGGCTTATGGCAAGACACTTTCACAAAAACCTCCCAGCCTGAACGCAAGCAGACAGCAGCCATATGCCCTACACGCTTGGCTTAATTAAGGTTCAGTCAAAAGCTAATTAAGGCTCTTGGCTTTCTGTGCCCATATCAAGACTAGAGCAGAGGTTTCTGGGACATTCAGTCAGGAAAGCTGGCATAACTCTACAATTATAATGGAGCAATCTGATGATTACAATCTGTGTCTACAAACAGATGTACCTCTATCTGAGTTCAACTCTGATAAGTAACAGAGCACAGCAGAAGTGTGCACCCAAGTGCATGTGTAATCTGGAATCAACTACCTCTTGTGAAACTCATCTTCTGATAAGCAGCAGTCTGTATAAACAACCCCCAAAATTGTCTTTGGCTTGAAATACAGCAGAGCACTGCTAGAAGTCATCTGTGCTAGCCTTCAGTCCAAACCCAAGAACTCCAACTCCATTCTGTTCAAAGCTTTGCTAAGAAACCATCTCTGGTTTTCCAGAAGTGATTATGATAGATAAATGGTTTCTTATATAAGGCAGAATTGCTACTGTCTGCAGGAATTCAGCAGTCTCCCAGCAGAGACAACCCAGGCAAAAAGGACCTGAATAGTATTTAGGAAAAAAGAGCTAACCTTGTATAAAATAATCATGTTTTACCAAACTCCAGCAGATTTCCCCACAATTCTGAAGGGTAGGACAAAGTAAGGGGTATTTTCAAAGTTACACAATGAGTCAGTAATTACTCGCGGTGGGAATCTGCAAATCACTATTCTGTGTCCAAGCCAACAAAACAGTTAGAAAGCTGGAAACACACACACGAGTATATGACTCTCTTTGGCCAGCTGTATCTTTCTATACATGCACAAAGATAGACATCAGACTCTGCATCTGCCGATTTGATAAATGCATAAAGATATTCTATCTTTTTTCCCACATTACTGGGCAGTAACAGAAAAGTTCTTATTGTGAAGTAATTTCTTACCTTTAAAATCATATCTTCTATTACTGATGCATAAACATTCTTTTGTACCTCGGCAGGTTGAAAAGAAATCCCTATCTATAAAATGAGAGGGAAAAAAATTAGTACATCATATAACACAACCCACATTGTACTACAGATTAGATGAGAATGAGATTAACAGAAAAAATATAAAGTGTAGTTAAAAATCAAGTAAGCAGATATTGCAGAACTTTCAAGCAGTATAATCTCAGGCTTCATTTTAAAAAGATCTGGAGAAAATGAAGCTTGACCAATAGAACAGCCTGCAGAAATGCCTCTAAAACACAGAAGAAAAAAAAGCAAATTTTAATCTGAGATCCTTTCTCCCACAACTGCTGCATGCAATCCCCTCCTGCTGCTGCTGCCTCTGCTGGTACAATGGTAAGCACTCTTTCCTACAAGCTGAGTCAGTCTCCTCTCTTCCCCTCCTGCTGCTGTGGCAGAACACTCCTCTCTACCTTTCTTTTACTCTAATTTGAATAGGGGGAAGAAATCCAAGCAGTAGTTTGCTGTGGTCCAAGATCTACCACAACTCCTTTTCAGGAGCTGCTATTAAACTGCACTGGTCCAAGCAACAAGTCTGAGTCTTTCATGTGATGGACAGGAAGAATTCGGTACTAGGGCTCCTTTTTCCTCATTTCCCCTTGTTTCTAGCCTTCCAGGATGATTTTTCTGGTACTAAGCTCTGCAACACAGCTACTATGAAATGACCTACCACTTGACATGCTTCACTTTCTCCTGCCAGCACTGCCCAACTCAGTGGCATTAGTCAGAAGGTTCAACTTTTCTGGCATTTATAAAAGCTTCCATAAAGCATCCCGAGGCCCATATAGATGAAAGGTAGGAAACAAAATAAATGTAAGATCACAACCAGCTTAACAACAGTCCTTATTAGCTTTATGATTCACTTATGCACCTTCTCTGCAGCGTCCCTCACAAACTCTGATGCAGGCAAGGAAGCCAAGTAGAACTTCATCTCCTCTTGTTTCTCCTCCTGTTCTTTCTTAATGTTTATTTTCAACGGCTCACTAAAGTTGAGAATATCTACTTCCTCTTCGTGTTCTGGTTCTCGTTTCAGAAATTGCTGCAGTTCCTCTAGTTTTCGGCACAGCTCCTCACCACTGCTGTAAGATGAAGGGCATTCTGAAAAAGAAGCCATCAATTAAACAGATGATAGGTTATGGAAATTTGTTTATAAACAGATGCACACTCATGGTAAGGAATAAAGGTAATTGGAAGCTATTTTTGCAGTTCCTACCAAACTTGAGGATGAACAGAAATGCAAACAGTCACTGAGAGTCTTCTAATTATATCTTCATGCCACTCATGGTCCTCTCCCTTATCTGCCCTTACACCAATTAAGAAGGCTGCATTTCACACAAAACCGGGCTAATGCGAGTCTCCTAAGCATCCTCACAGAAGCTTTTTGACAACTGGCAATGCAGTCTGATGCCCTTCAACTTGCCTGGAGAAATGCAGTTTTTCTTATGCCAGCACTAAATCATCTTTTACGTTGCCAGCACTAAATCATCTTTTACGTTGTGACAAGCATTATCATGCTTTTTAAGAAAAATCAGAAGACAAATCTTCAGTGAAATTATGAAAGGGTAACTTCTCTGCATGCTCAACACGAGCCACTAAAACCATTAGCGGAAAGCTATACAATAAACAGATTCTTTTCTTCAAAGACAAACACAAATCTAGTTATTTAGATAAAAATACTAGAAGATAGATATAGGCTTCCTTTCAACAACTGCAATGCAGGGCCAGATCTAGCAAAGAATAATCAAATCCACACACTTGTGTGAAATACCTTAAAACCCTGTACGATCAGAACAGAAAAACATTCAGCTTTGGGAAAAGGATTATCTGAAGGTGAAACAAGGGAGCTTAACTGTGAAGAATGCATGAAATTAAAGATGGATTTTTAATATATACTAAAACGGACTGTGGAGATCCCAGAGCTATGCCTAGTGGAGTAGTGCAGCAGCAATAATAACAAAGCGTGAAGCTTCACACAGGCCAATTCAGCACACTTTTGGAGGTAAATTAACCCCCACTGAGCTCCACAACACCACTGCCAAATTAGGTTTGATTTTTTTGCACCTGAACTCACTCACACTGTTCATACACTAAGCCTTAACAGAGGCTAAGCTTACCCAAGGACAGAAATGTCACTACTCCCTATGCTTAGTTTTTGTGTGTCCACTTATAAATGATTACACTGTGGGGCAAGAATCACCTCTTACAAGATTTATCTACACTGGCCCTCCAAGTGCCCCAATGCACAATAAAACCCCAAAGGCCCCAGAAAACATCAGGACTGATAGTGACAAGCGACAGTCTCACTCGTAGGCTTGCCCTTATGATCTCCAACTTCTGTTATTCCAAAGTAGGTTAAGTTAAAGAAAGAAAGAATCCCCTTCTCCTGAAGCAACAGCACGTGTGTGAGCCTACACAGAGTCTTGAGCCACTTAATAAACAACATCTTTGGCAGAAAGGAGCTTTCTGTCCCCCCGTACTCACCTGGCTCACTGTCTATCTGCGTCAGCACATCTTCAATTGAGTCCTCATCGTTCCGCAAGGTCTCAGGGTCAGGTGGAGTGTAGCCATGGCATCGACACCAGTGCACCACGTGCTTTGTTTTCAGGGGAGTAATATTGTGAAACCTGGGGTGCTTTTCTATGATTTCTTGTAGGATCTTTCTCACTGTCATTGCTCGTTGCCACTGTGACAAACCAAAGGGAAAGCTCGTCATGACAGCTAAAACAGTTAAGGCTAGACAATAATCCAGGTTGCAAGGAAGAACAAAAAGGAACGTGATTTTCTTAGAAGTCTGAATGATGAGGAAAAACAGATGTGGAAGATGGTCCTAATTCTGATATTAGGCAGCTGCAAGCAGACCATTTAAACTCTGCTTTGTCATCCAAACAAAACCTCAAGAAAAAGGAACACACATTTACAGGGGCCTAGACACCTTTGTCTTGACTTGAAATGTATCATCTCCCAAGTAACACCTAAGATGACATAGTGCAAGAAATCCACTAGAACAAAATATATTTCTCAAAATTTTAGTTAAACTGTTTAATCACTTCATTTGGCAACAGTAGAGGGTCTAATCAGTTATTAACATCTTCCCTGTAAAACTTCATAGCAAGATGGTAAAACTATTAATAAATAGGGGGAAACATAACAACCACAACACAAAAAGGTCCAAATTAACTGAAATATTTATCCTTGGTGAATCGACAATCTATTTCAGCACTAGCACTGCTTATGTCAGATCTCTCAATTCTCTCCCTACAGAAAGCAGACAGAGTCCCATGAAAAGATAGACAAAGTATGTTGGGTAAAATTCCCATGACCATAACATGCCACAGAGGAGTGATGAGGATAAAGTGCTAACAGGACAGTTTGCAAAATTTCCGATTTTTAAAATGCTTCAAAAACATCTTGCTTTGAATCAGCCAAAAAATGACCTTCAGAGTCCCTTTTGCTTGAGAAAGTCTCTGAACAATGAACTGGATTGCTACCTGGACACAAATCAATGCAGTAAGGAATGCTTCCATTTAAAATGTGACAGACTGCTTCAGAAAACAAATCAGCCAACAAGAAAGGTTCCATAATTCAGAAATCCTTGTGTCCCTAATGACTGCTTATGAAACACAGGAGAGGATTACCTCGGCTGCCCTCCTCTTCCCAATATTCCAGCTGTAATACTGTTCCACTGAACTGGCGCAAAAAGAGCTTGCATCTTCATCTAGAAAACACAAAGCCAAAAAATGGTATTAAATATTTAGTAACTAAAGTAAGATAAATTTTGGTTTTGGTGTTATTTAATGGAGAGGAAGAGGGGAATGTGATTCATGCTCACAGGATGAAGGACACTAACTCTTACAGATGCCGTGCTCTCTCTGAGCACAGCACAGATAGCGCAGCAGACACTGTGGGGTTTGGATGTTGATCACATACACAGAAATCTGTGGCTATAGGCTGTTTTAAGCCACTTTTTCCTCCAAAAACTGTAATTATGTGGACCTGTAAATCTGTCTTACTGGTCAAAGTCTCTTCCTTTGGAAAACTCTTTGGGGCTTTTTTGCAAACAAATTACAACTTAAAAATGAAACAACACTGAAAAGGTTCCCTGGCAAAAACATGAGAAGAGGATATGAATCCTAAGCAACAGATTCATGAATGCTACTGTAGGCCAAAGAGCTGTATGTAACGAAAGCTCTACTGTGCCACCCACTCCTACTTTGTTCGCTGTGCTTATCTTGAGAGGGTCTGCCCTACCCAGTCTCCAGGACCACTTGTTCAAAGTGCATTAGTTACCAGAGAAAGCTGATACATTCTCAGCTATGTACATGAGTAAGAGGTATGCACTTATAAAGTACCAGAAAAGATTAAAATGTTTCTCTGCAAACTACCACCTTTTGTTTGTTTTTGTTTGTTTTGGTTTTTTTTTTTAAAAAAAGCCAAAACCCCAACAACACACACATTCCAATGTGGAGCAATCTCTGCAAGCATTTCTGAAACCCTGATATTAAATTAAAAAAAGAAAAAAAGAGAAAAGCACATCAATTAAGGCCAAACCAGGGAAAAGAAGACCTACTTGCAGCCATTATGTGAAGAAATATAATCTATTTCTAACCAAAAAACAGATAAAAGTTAATAACTGCTGACAACATATTTAGCTTTATTGGAAGAATCTAATTCTAAGTATCTTTAGAATAACCCCTTGAGTAAGCTCTCTAGGAGAATGGCTTCATTTCATTCCGCCTTTTAATAAGTTTTGTGGCTACAGAATATGCAAGGCAGTCTGTTGATACACTGAAAATAGAAAGCAAACCCTTTTCATTTACTGCTTACTTTTTTCAGCAATTAATGGAACCTTCTTCACTATTGCTGTTAAAAGCTGCTGGATATTCTCCAAATATTCTATGCTGCAAGGGATAAAAAGAATCACAATGAAGAATACTGTTGGAAGCAATGGACCAGATGCAAAAGGTTTCAAAATCGCTGCATGGTTTAAAGTCCCTAGCCCCACGGCATTATAGCAATAGCAGTGTGAGGATAAACTGTTATGCCCCAATCTGGAGAAGGTATTTCAAACAGCCCTTCCTCCTGCTGAAGTGTCCACATCTGAAGCTGCAACTGCCAAGCTGAAGAAACTGAATACAGGTTTTTCTGGGCAGGCTTGGAAGAAATCCCTGCATCATCTCACAAGATGCAATGCTACTCTGAGGGATAAGATGCACCTTAGTGCAGGCTGTCCCAGTAGGAACATGGGATACTGCATGGGAAACTTTGTACTTACAGGACTTTGGATAAATTTTACTTAACCAGTCAGACTGTATTTAACTGTGAAGAACCATATTTTCCATTAGTTATTTTATAACTAAGATAATTTCCAGTGTGTAGTGACTTGAGATTTATTCCTGTCTCCTACACATACTCTCCAGAGTAATGTCTGCAGGGATATGTCAGGATAACAAAACTTCAAAACACGGAGATGGGAAAGTCAACCACTGGAGGAATCAAGAGCAGAAGAAACATCCTACACACTACAAAAAATAAGCAGAGAAAATTTTGAAAACTGTGTTCTGCTGAAAAAAACCTAACAAGTACTTGCAAGAGCATCACAAACAAGGCACCAGATTTCACAGCATCCAGTGAACAAATACTCCACTGATCTTTATTATTTAATTCCAATTCTGAACCAAGGCAGCCCTCATACTAAGCAATTACAGAAGTATATGAGCTTAGCAAGACTAGAGAGGCAAGAGGAGACAGTTCTACTTATTTCAGATTTTCTGACCTGCATTTCACTGGACAGTTTCACCTCAGTAAGGACACACAGTGGCAATGGGAATTATACAAGCAGTGGATGATGAGGTTTTAGCAGCCTGAGATTTTAGCAAACCCCTGAACAAATGCAAATCTCCAAATAATGTTTTCTCCTTTCACAAGCCCTGCGTACAAATCCATTTTACTAAGAAAATATTGTAACACTGTCTGAAACAAACGTCACCCAAAAGGATTCATACTGATACAGCAGTGTATGGGACAGAAGATTTTATGATGTATTTCTAGATCAAACTTAACCTTACTACAGGTAACCCTAGAATCTCCTCCGTTCCCCCCAGCATTTCAAATACCAGAAATCCTTAAGAGAAATGAACAATTACTTGATAACGTAATTCCCAAGTTCAGAGCTCTCTTCTGTTTTTACTGCTGCTTGGCCTTCTTGGGTACCCACAGAATTGCAGTTTTGTCCTGTTGAATCAGGCTCCATCTTAACTTCAAAGAAACAGAACACATTTTAAAAGACAAAAAGTACCAGTCAGCTTGATAAATAGCATCCTGTAAGACTAAAGATCTTGCATAATATCACTTCATTTGTTGTTTGCATTCTGATTGTTCAGCATGAACAAATCTGGCCTTCGATTCTGCTGAAAGCAAGCCACCAGAACATGTTCCTCTCCTCCAAATCTCAACACGCTCACATCTCACACTTTTTAGAAAATCTGCATCATCAATTGCTGATGTTTTGCTTATGACTGCCTGATCTAAACTGAACTGCCTGCAAATGTATGTTGGCCTTTTTGTAAACAAAGAGCTGGATAGAAAACTACTAACAGTTTTACCAGGTGACATTTCAAAGTGAGAACTTTTTTGAAGACACCGCTGATTTTTGATATCAGTGAACTTTCTGACATCTAGGACAGAACTTTGGTGAGACAGGAGCAGGGAAGGAGATGTTCCCAACCCAGAACAGCCAGGCAGTCTGCTCATTCTTCTGGGATGGGAGAGATGCATGACAGTTCTGCAAAAACTGGACCTTGAGTATCTCAGCTGGCCTATGCATTATTCTGGGAAGTACTGTAGGTCCATCCTTCCCCTGCAGGTGTGTGCATGCACACATGCTGTCTACATCTAGTGCTTCTGCAGAGCATTCTCCAGTACATTTCACCAGTCACTGTTCTGAGAACAGCAGTAACTGTGATTAAATACATGCTGCTCCATGCATTTCTGCAAATATGGATTGAAACAATGAATGTTTAAGGTACTCACGGTAGCTTTCTAGAACATCCTCATTTCTCTCTTTACTTGCCTATGCTTTTGTTGATGGAGAAATCACTGTTAATTTCCTAGTCCCCAGATACCATTTTTATTTGATTTAAGCCCTACTAACAATGGAAATAAAAGAACCCACAGTCACAGTGTCGACCTTCATAGCCAGGACATTTGCATAAAGCAGCACCAGCTTATTTCCACTACTTATCTTGTTGAGAAATTCCTTGTTACCTTTAGTGATGGATGCTGGAGAGGGACTAGGGACAACCGTACTTGCTGCTGTGACAGCCGAAACAGCTGAAACTTTGCTGGTAGAAAGTGACTGTATCACTGAAGAGGAAAAAGGAAAAAAAAAAGGACAACAAAGAAGAAAAAAAATTATCAAATTTCACACTTTGACAAATAACCATGTTCAGAAGTAACACAGTGTTTTTGCAGCACAAAGTTTAGGGATTAATTTCCTTGCTACATTTTCTTCTATCTCTAACTTTAGACCATGTATGCCAACAGTGACCAAGAGCTACCCTGTGTCAAAGGGGATTTTCAAACACCATCTGTCATCCTCCTCTGCCCTTTACCTTTGTTCATAGGCATGAGTATTGTCTGAACACCTCCAGAAGCTGTGTTTACACCGAGCTGTTTAAGCTGGCTGGGAACTGTCAGAACAGCCTGCTGTGGACTAGACTGATTTGAGTGGATTTTTAGCAACCCTGCAAGAAGAACGGAAGACAAAATGTTAAATAAAACACACCATTTAGTTAATCTCCAGCTACTTCTCTCCCTTTCTGCCTGCACCAGGATGGCATGTAAGCTAGCACTGCCACCCTCTTAACAAGCCACAGTTCAGTGAAGTGTCAGACAAGTTTTTACTGACACATCTGACTGCTAAAATACTGGGGTGGTGCACCACAGTGTGTGCAGTACTGCATGCTGCACAGCACTCTGATATTTGTAAAGCAAGTTTCCTAATTACCTAAGTAATCTTAAGCAAAAGTTGATGTAACACAAACCTTTCAGTTGAAGCAGGCTCAGCAGAGTTCTTGTCAGAACAAGACCTTGTGCTCAAGGGTCTGGTAAGCCAGTGAACCACAGCTCCGTTGTACTTACACAGCCACTCTCACTGAGGTATCCAAGTGCCACACACACCTCTACAATTCTGCTCAGCAGCATCCACTGCAGTCAGCAGAGCACATCAACCACGTCTTAACTATGTGGCAAGCCCAAGGCTGTGCAGCAAGTCTGATGAAGGACACACCTGAACTGCGTGTCCTGAGTCTTTCTGTGACATGTGCTGAATACATCCATAAGGATGGCTAGCTAATCAAGCTATGAAGCATATTAAATTAGGGACTGGATCAGATCACTGATTTTAGTTAAGGCTAAAAGAGCACGCAGGGCATTCAGATATTAACAGCATTATCAATCGCAGCACCCAATGACTTCAGTGAAAATCAGCATGGCTCCAAGCTGTGACACAGGGCCATGGGTGAGTAGAACTCATCACCTGTCCATCAGCTCTCTCCTCCACAGTGATGACATCCCAAGCCACCAGAGTCAGCACTCTAACACTGTGATTTGGGCCTACATCCATCCTTTCTACCGGTAAAACAGCTATTTTTAATATAATTGTGTTCAATCTATAGCTAAGTTTTCTTCAGACTGTAAAACTTAAAAGGCTTCTATTTTAGAACATTGACAACAGTAGACTTCTTGGATTCATGGTGATTGTTTTATACTCACGATTTGTGTTTTGAGATAAAGTTTCCAGTCTCCTCATATTTTATTATTATTTTTTAAGAAACACAGCTGCCTTCCAAATACCAGACATGCAAGGTTTGCTGAAGATGTCTCATGGTTTCAAAAGATGTGCAGAAGCACTGGTCAGTTAGGCTTTCACCTCCAGCAAGAAGGCTAACCCAGTTATTACCAGTTCATTTGTGTGTGATGCACAGATGTGTCAGGATAGGACAGCAAGGGGCCCAGATGGCAAGGTGAGTAAGAAGGGACGTTTTCAACTAAACCTATTAGCCTGATGAGTAGAAGACATTGTTCGTTGCAGAACAAGGGAAAACTTGAGATTTTTTTAAAAGTTTCCTTTAAAAATACAAATGTTCAGAATTTTAACACTTGTTTTGTTGTTGTTTTGTTTTTTACATTGAAGTAACATGGTTTATAACCCCTGCTTCTTTCGGGATTCTTGAAGAATGAGTTTTTCATGATGAAGTCAGTGCTTCAGGTTACAAAAACCAAAACAAAATCTAGGTAACATTCTCATACCTAAATGGGAGTTTTAATCTGAAAGCTATTTAGAATGACATATTTTCTACAAAAAAAACCCCTTGCTGCTTTGTTTGCAAAGAGGAAAATACTCAACTGCTTATTGTAGAATTGTGGCACTCTTAGCTGCCTATATTTACTTTCAGGCTCTGGGAAAAACAGTAATAACAAATGAGTTTGGAAGACTGTACATAGGAAACAAGGAAGAATTGCTTAAAAAGACACTGTCAGATGAGCTCAGTGTCACTTTTCTCTTTTCTGTATTTTTACTCTGTTTCCACTTAGTAAGAAGCCACTTCAAGTGAACAGAACATGCCAGTAAGTAAATTAGTCAAAACAAAAATTTCCAATTTTAACCTGTAATATTCAAATTAAATCCACTGTATTTGCTCTCCATAATATAAAAGCTACTGGAAGTCAGTCAGTAAAGTTAAATAAGGAAAACTCCCCTCTACATAAGGGCAGTCCATCTTTATTAACTTGAAAAATTCCTGATCCAGCCTACCTCACTGTAATTAATGGATTTTGACTTCAAAGCCTTCAGTTCCCCCTAATCAACATCTCTATCCTAAGCCAAACAGAGCAGATGGAAAGCCTCAGAGCCAAATTCTGCTCATGCAGCTTCTCCAACTTCAGTGGAGTTTCACTTTCACAAACTAATCAAGTCTGTAGTATTGCTGGTACCTTGATAGCTTCAGCATTCAGTGATACACTGTGCTCTTGAATAGGCAGAATGCATCTTCTAATGTGAATCTGGCATAGAAACTAAAATCCCTCTCCAATATCAATGGGCAACTCACACTATTACTTGTAACAGATACAGTCAATGTACTGATGTGATAGGATGACAAATGACTTAGACATCTCTGGCTAAGACAAAAGTTACACTAGTAAAATATGTTTTAGAAAGCATGACTTTACTTTTACACATTCACAAATGCAGGTAACTATATTCTTCCATTTACAGTGAAGACCTCTAAAGAACTCACACCTGGATTTTAACTTTCTATAGCAAAGGTATGAAGGAAGTTAATACCTGATACTGCAGCTTTTCCAGCCACAGGCGTTGGTGTAGTCATCAGAGAAGCAACACTTACAACAGTGGAAGTAGCAGTCTTATTCACGACTGATGAAGTAGACTGGCTCTGGCTTACACAGATTTGCTGTTGCTGTCCAGATGTCTTTGCTGCAGGAGTTCCAGAAGATGATGAGCCAGAACTTGCATTATCTATTTGCTACATGAAAGAGGCAGAGAGAGATAACAAATTCCTTCTCGTGTCATGGATGATTCAACAATAAGCACAACAAGGTAATATCTAGAAGTAGCAAAACCAAATGTTTATCTATCCATCTTTAACAAACAAGAGGTTCTCAAGCACATAACTAAAAGCCCATATACAGTGATGGTACATAGAGAATGGAGGCTGTTTCAAGCAGAAAATGTGAAACCATGCACACAGGAACTGCTACCACAACAACTGCTTTGATAGTATCTGGAGCCAGATTCCTTAATTTCAGCAAGCAGGTAGGCCTCTAGATGAGAAATTTGACCCAGGAATGCTTCATATTTCCCTGCTGCTCTGAACTCCAGAGGTATCAATAGACAAATAGGAAAAATGTTTGGGATAAAGAGGCTGGATGGAAAATTTCCATCTCTGCAGCTTTTCTGAAAGCTGTAAAATCACTGAGTATCACTTAACACATATTTTAGCATCTTCACCTATACATGCTGTGTATGCCAGCACTCAGCTCTAAGGGCAGCATGGTGTCAACTCCCCACTTGTTTAATCTTTGCCTCCCCACAGGCAAAAGCAGCAAGGCTAAGGGAACCCTCAGAGTGAATTATACACTCTCCTTTTTGCTGCATCCTCCCCACTCTGTGAACTCCAACTCCACTTCAGGTGAACAACCTAATTCAATGGGATACATGGCTGCATCCACTCCAGGAACGCAAATGTTTTGCTTCCAACCTCATTCTGGGCTGAAGCACCTTGTTCCAAGGCTGTGCTGTCACAACTCGCCCAGGGTGGAGAGGAGTGACATCCTTTGAACACAGTCAGGACCAAAGGACCATGAACTCTGGCCACTGAAAACCAGCCTCTGAAACCAGCTGGTAGCAGACTGGGCACTAAGCGCCATGGAGGGTCTCTGATGTCAGAGAAGTGACCTACAGCCTAGTTACTGCTGCCTTTCACTGGCCTGACAGATACAGACCTTCAGGCATATCACATTCTTCTGCAAATTTCTGTGCCAGCAGCAGACTTGGTGTTTAAAAGCTGCATAGCCAAAAAAATCTGATCCGTCCGATTGCAAAAGCTATTTCAGATAAAGCCTTCCCTGCCTACCTGAATTTCAACAGTTAAAAGCAAGAAAGTGCAAGTTTCAGTTTCTCTTCTCCCCTTGTTTCTTCACAGATATTTACTTCCCATCAAACAGCAAACAACCCAGCAGAAAAGGAGTTGTCTGCACTGTGCTGGTACACAAATTAGAGCAGGCCCACCAGCAAAGCTGACTGAGAAAAATACCAACAGGATGGAAAAGCAGTAGAAGGACTTTCCTGGAGATTACACTGGCTAGAGTGCAAACATTGTGTTACAGAATTTTGGCAATGTTGTTTCTCACCTGGGCCACCCCATTTGTGGGAAGGGCCACAGCAGGAGCAGCAGCAGTGGTGATAACACCTCCGGATACTCTCAGCACAGTGGTGCCAGGTTTAGAGAGCTGGGATGAGGCAGGCACTGATTTTATAGACCCATCTGATATTTTCACCAGTGATGTCTGTCCACTGGGTGCAGCCTTTGAAAAAGAATTCAGTGTAAGGAAAAAGGTGCATTTGGATTTTTTAAAAAATTACTTTAAAAACCCCAACAAAACACAACAAACAAGACAAATGTTTTTTATATTTACTGAAAAATATTTTCAAGACTTCTGAAAAAGGCAAATTGTGACAAATAATAGCTGAAAGAAAATTATCACCTCAAAAATCAACTTTACCAAACTGCTGACTTTGCAAAAATATGTCTATCAGTCTTGAATTTTGGATGATCAATTACAAGTACTCTCAGGGATTTTGAATTTCATAGGGACCACTTGGTAGTTTTTAAAAGAAGGATGTTTGAGGGACACCAAACCCCTAAAATTTTAAGACCTTTAGCAGGTGACCCATTTCTAAGGTTCAAATACTTAAAGCACATTTCTGCACCTGACTGTATTCACTTCCCTAATTCCATTTCACTAAGAAATCTCAAAGCACATTTACAAACTAGCAACCCAAGCTTACACGACCCACTCTGAGAACAAAAATAAAGCTGGAAAACTGTGGTCCAATATCTCCATATGAAAGTAGGCCTTTATGTGCCTTCCTCATCATAGTATAGTCAGCATGATAATTGTACAAAACCAAACCAAACTCCAAAATTAAAAGCTCTCACAATGTGTGGCTGTGGTTCCTATACTTTCAGCTAAAAAAGTGCTAGTTGGTAAAAGAGAAACACCTCATTTGCATCTTACCTGTGTAAACAGAGCTGTTTTCTGTCCAGTTATCACTTTTAGTGCTTGTCCTTGTGTGGAAGATGCTCCAACTCCTACACTGCCCTGAACAACTGAAGCTGGAGTCAGCTGCTTTCCAGAACTCTGAGGAGAAGGCTGGCCAACCAAAAAGGTGCCCTGCTCCAGAAATAAGTTAGGTAGGTCAGCACTTCAAAACACAGTTAAGAGTCAACAGAAATCTGGAAGTGTCAATACAGGATAAAAGCTTGTAGATATAATGCAACACAACACTTCATTACAGTGGATGCTTCTGCACTAAGAGCTAGACACAGCCTTCTTGGTGGAGAACAGATTCTGACGCAAGGGAAGGGGTGAGAAACCCACAGTCTCCTGTCTTGTCAGAGGCATCCACTACAATTTAATACACTTTATGCTCTTCAACTTTACTCTTTGTGACAAATGCTGCTTAGCATGCAACGTCAGAGAAGCTTCTGCTGGGCTAGGAGGGGGGGAAAATAAACAAAAAAGACAAATTGAGACATTCTGCCATCTTCTCACTTCAAAATTTAGTCCCCCTACAAAGGCTATACATTCGGAGCTCAGCATGCACAAATCAGTGACAACTGGAGGTGTGTGCTCTAATAACCTACCACCTGAGACCTTGCCACCCTTCCTGCTTCACCTCACTATTCAGCTGCTGTCTTTCAGAGGCAAATTTCATTCACCCACTGTCACACATGGATCCCTTCACACAATCTTGGGGTTCCTCCTTTTTCTTTCTTACTCAGCCTTGTCGTTTCACTCCAGCAGCCCTCCTTTATTCTCCTACCTCTTATGCTTTCCTTCAACTCTGACATACGCTACTGTGTAAGATAGCTCTTCCAGCATCATCTCCCTCAGATCACCTCTCTTGTTTCAGTGACCCTTGTGGCCCTGCCACCAGGCACTGTCCCTTCTCCACCCCCTGCTCAGCCTGGCCTTACCCAGTGCTGCTTTCTCAGCCTGCAAGGAGCCACAAGGGCACAACCCTGCAAGGGGAGGTGAGGGGCAGAGATGTGCCAATAGCATCAGCAAGTGGCAAAGCAGGTGCTTGTCACAGAGAGAGATGTGAGGGTTGTTAGAGAGGATCTAGATCCTACAGTCCAAGAACGTTTCATATTCTACAGAACCACAGGACATCCACTTAACACCACTGCAGCCTAAAATGTCAACCTGCTTCAACTGACCTGGGGTGTCTGCTTCAGGATGTAGGATGTATAGGTGAGGTGCTGTGACAAGTTACTGCTTGTGCTTTGGGTTGTTCCTCCTCCTCCTCCTCCACTATTTGTAGAAGAACCAGATTGGAGACCTGTAACCAGAAGAAAAGTCTTGGCCCTTCAGTGACCACACACTGTCAGCTGCTAAAACAGCCCCATACATACAAGTAATTAAAAACACTTTGCAAGGCATTTGCTGCCACATGTTTTGCATCCCAGTAACATTACCACCCAGTACAGCACAGTTCAGATGTGCTGCTGTGTTCTCTTATAGTCAGCAAACACCATGAATGAAAGGAGCTATGGGGAAATAAGGTCTGGTGGGCAAGCAAAGCTCACTGAAGGCTGTTTTGAATTTTCTATCAAAAGCAAATGCTGCCCAACAGATGAATAGTCTTTTCAGCAGTCTTTTGCAGATTATGTATCTGCAGCAAAAGCCCTAGAAGCACTGTGAATCCCACTGGCTTCCTAATTGTACTTTCATTTGTTCTTCCAATGCAATTTTGTTAACAGAGTATTAGATCATGGATACCGAGCAGTGGTAATTTGCAGTGACACTTTGATATTGCTCTGCCTTCAGAATGAACAGTCTGAATGCTGACTTTTTTTGCAGTCTCTCATTAAGAAACAAGGGTAGAAAAAAATATGTATGGCTCTGTCATAAAAATCACAAGTATTTGCTCTTCCTCAATGCCTATGAGATTATTTATTTGCCAAAGTTGGACTGCCCCAGCTATCTCTCTAAATCTCAAGAAATGGGGATCCCATCACAAGTTCTACAGCCCAAAAATACCTTCAGCAAGAGTATCTATTTCTTCAGTGACATGTACTCTATTGCTATATTGCTGGTATTTACCTTATATATTAAGCTGAATGATACCTCTTCCTCAGTGACAGCATCAGAACTGGGAGCAAAAAGTTTACACCCAATCCATCTCTCATCCCAACCCCCAGCCTCAAAATAAGCATTCTGGAGAAGGCTCATGACAAAACTCTTCAGCTACACAGTCCAAAATGGGCAGTATTCTTTCCCTATAGCAACAACACACTATAAAAAAGTATCACCCATCAGAGTTATTTTAGCAATGTTATTCTCCAGGTATTTCACAGCAAGTTTGATTCACAAGCCCATTAACAAAAAAAGTGCTTCTGCTAGTCTCAACAGCTTGGGCCTAAACCTTGTATCAACATTCAAAATTATTTCTTTCCCTCATTCCAGATACAGTAACTTGTCCTTTGCAGTGTTAGCTTCTTATGTTTCTCGTTTCTCCAGGGTGTCATTCCATTACTTATTAATAGCTTTCACAACTACATTCAAATCCATCTCAGTTCTCCATCATGAAAATGCAGTTGTGCCTTCCTACACATCACAAGGAACAGTTAAAGGCAACTCTTTGCCGAATTCTGAGGAAAATTACACTTTCTGCTTTCAGCACAGAAAGACATTGAGAGCACTGCATGAAGAGCAGTTTCATCTAAAACAGAAGACAGTTGTGAGATCTCAGTCTTTAAAAAGCACCACATACTGTGTTGTTGTGAACAAAGAAACCCCATCCCACTAATCCCACTACTGACTTCCACAGTACCAGAATGCTTTATAGCAAAACTACCAAACTTATTAATTATGCAGTGATTACATTATTTAACTCATTAGATTTCCCTGCAAGACTAACTGGCATTATTTGTGGCTCGCAGTATGGCTCCTTGGGGTATCAGAAGCAGTTTTCCTTTCCCAGAAGGATTCTTGCTGTTGGTGGTGAGATACAGCTTGGTGCCTGGTGGTAAATTTGCCAAGTTTGCCAGGTTGGTGGCTGGTAACTGCAGTGTAGCCATCACTAGAAAGAAAGAATAAAAAGAAATAAAACTACTGCTTGCAGAAAGTAGTATGCATTGAAATCTGCATAGGATGAAAGTACAGGGAGTGACATGCAGCTAGCTTTCGATAACCCATACTTAGTTGGCCTAACTGCAAATTATCTCCACCAGTGATGCACAAACACTTTTTTGGATAGGTCTGGGGGAAAAAAAAAAAACAAACAAAAACCACCTCTGTGTGCAGTACCACTTACGGTTGCAGGCCAAAGCAGCACAGCCATGGGATCTACAGGCTTATTCCATCCAGAGGCCATGGAACACACTTCAAACTGTCAGAGCCTGAACTAACATGCTCAGCTAAAGCCAGATGTGTGCAGAAGCAGGTGGGGTGCTCCCACCCATACTCTCCATATTGGGGAAGATGCGAAGATGAAATAAGAAGTTTATCTCTTGTTGGTTGGATTTATGTGGAGCCCTTTGAGCATCTCAGGACCACAATACTGGGCAAAAATGTGAGACCTGGCTCCATGAAAGTCTGCTAGGTCTCCAGCATATCTGTCTGATCTCCACTCACAGAACACTGCACGTTCTAAAGTACTTGTGCTCCCTCTTTCCCCTTACAGATAATGAGTTATCATTTTCTTTATTACTAATCTCAATCAGCCTGAACTTCCCTACAGACTGAAGTTTTTCAATCACACAGTTATTCTGCTGTTGAAGAAATCATTATAGTACCTCAAAGTCTACCCATTATGAGCTATTAACAAGATGTAAAATTACCTGAGCCTTGAGATGTACTTTTCTGAGCACCTGTAGAAGAAACTTGTGCCTTTGTTATAGTCTGCACAGGCTGAGCAACAATTGTCCCTCCGCCTCCACTCACAATGGCTTTGGCTACACCTTGAGTCACAACCTGCTTCGGACCAACAGCCTTTGCTACTGAAGAGCTAGATTTTGCCACAAGTATCTGGCCACCACTTATAGCCACTGCTTGTTTCACTGTCGACTGTAAAGCAGAACCAACTGGAACGCCAACAACCTGCAACAAATAAGTATTGGATGACGTGCTGCTGGCAAGAGAAATCATGTGAATTCTAGCTGGTATTCTACCTCCATCTCTAGACATTTCAGGACACTTTATACATGTCTAGTCATGTATAAAAGCTATTCATTCAGAAACAAAATTAAATTGGCAAGAGATCAATCTGAAATAAAAAGATAAACTGTTAAACACAACCAAGATTTCACAGCACCCACAAAAGATTAGGTATGTTCAAATTACAGGGCACTTCCATCTTTTTTAGATATATAAGCAATGGCTTAATTCCAGCTGAAGATAAAGCTTGCTTTGGCAAAGCACAGAGCTCCAGAAATTTAGTTTCAACACATTAATGGGAACAGACTCATTAATTGGAAAACTACAGCCTCAAAGCAGAACCCACAAACTGCTTCAATTTTACGTGTTGACAATAACTGCAGGGAAACATGAGTTTGCAAACCTGCTCAAACAGGCAAATAAAGCAGTAAAAAGGACAATGAACTGTGCAAATGTAAATATAAATTTACTTATGCATAAGTGAAAGCTCCATAGGTAGTCTATTGTACTTGACATATGATTTGACTCTTATCCACAATGGAAACAGGCAAGAATGGAGGTAGTTTCCGACACACCTGTCATCTCGTGACTGATAGTTACTGTGCCTTCTCAGAAGCTGCGTCACTCCTGTCATAGAAGCACTGCAATGGCACAGACTCCTACAATAAAACACTTGAGTTGCCACTCAAGTGGGACTGCTTCCACCTATTGCTAGTGCTGGCTCAGCCTCCATCCCACTCCCCATTTGTCCTGTTCTTTTTTGTGGCAGGCCTGCAGTCCAAGGAATTTGCCTCCTCTTACAGAAACACCGGGAAACACCTTCAGCAAGAGCTGATGACAGCAGCCAACTTTCTGGCAATGGGTTAGACAGAAGTGGGAGATGTTCTCTGTACACAACAGTGCTGCTCACCCTGCTACCTTCTCAAGGGCTACAGGTAAGCAGAATATGGACCACTGAGCACACAGGGAAACCAGCTAACCACGGTGCTGCTGCCTGGGTCTGAGACAGAAGCAGTCCTACACCCCTGAGAGAAGCATGAAGTGTTGCAATAAAACCACAAGACAGACAGCTTAGACCACGCCAAAGATGCCCGAGTGCCTCATACCTTAGACTGCACCGTCCCCTCGCCTGTGCTCACGACAGGCTTCTGCGGTGACAAGGCTAACATGTGGCTCCCTTTTACAGTGACGTACTGCTGCACAGAGGTCTGCGTGGTTGTCCCTGTTGCTGGTAGCTGGGGTTGCTGGGGCAGTTCTCCTGGCTCCTGCTTTATTATCACCTTTTAAATAAGAAGAAATAATAACAAGAAAAGCAAACACTTTAAATCACTGGGGATCACTTCTGGAACAGCCTGTCTGCAGGAAAGGGCAGGCAACAGTCAGTAGACTCAGACATAGTTCTTATCACCAGGTGGTCTCTAACTCAGCTCCAAGATGAGGGCTACTCCCAACACACAAGCGTGAAGCAGTGGAGGGGTGTGTGTGTGTGTGTGTGTCTGTATTTACAAAGCATTCCAGATTTGAGACGTGCTCATAGGAGTTGCAGAACCACAGAAATTTCTAGTAATATTACAACTGCTAGTCATACTATCAACAGACTTGGCCAGACCTGACTTCTTCAGGCCCCGCACTTCAGCATGAAGCCACTTTAAGGTTTCAAATTTCTAAGCACCCTCTTCTCAGAACACATTCTAAACCTCAATATTTTTCTATCCTGCGAAATGACAACCAGTATTATAACTATAGATACTGTAGATTATTATAGATGACATTCGCTTTTATATATGTTTTATGTTTCTCTGGGACAGGCCCTCAACCTAATCCCTAAGAGCTGTGAGCCAAGAAAGACCAGGGTTTTTTCTGTTAGACTGCTGTATGTACTGTAACTGGTAGGAAGCATTCTTCCACCTTTTACTTGGGTCACCTAATACTGCCAGAAACGACTTTAAATTCCAGATGGTAACATTTAAGGAAACAAACTCAGAAGTAGCAACTTCTGAGATTCAAAAATCACTGTATTATTTTTTAAGAAGCTCCTGATGGATCTACTGCAATTTATTATGCTTTTACTATATCCCACTAACACAGTTTTTAAAATACCAGCCTCAGTATGACAGGGATTCAAAGAAAAACAAGAAAGGATGAAAGAGGAGATAAAAAGAAAGATCACAGGTACAGTAGTGACAGTGAAAGACAAGAAAACAAGATACATTTTTGAGAGATGCTACAGAGCCCTCAGCAGCAAGACACATTGGTTCCAGTAACAGTTTTACATGCACTGGAAGTTACAAGGTTTGTGGCACAAGTCAGCATGAAATGGCACTATGGGGCTCCTTGTCCCGGCACAAAAGCCAAGAGGAATACCTTTGTAAAAGCTCCAAGTCCTCCAGTGACCGATTTGGGGCTTTGCACCTTGGAATGACTCCCAATGGGACAAAGGGGTGGCATGGTGGCAAACAGAGAGTCCTCCTGCTGCAAATAGGAAGACATGGCACAAAAATTGGTGAAATGTCCAATACGAGAAATAAAAAAAGTGACTGCTAATAAAGGGTAGCAGGGACCATCTGGGCAGGCCAAATTACCTGTACATGGCATTTCCAAAATCAGTCAACACTTAAGGAGTATAACATACTTAATACAACCTACAAAGCAAATTTTATTTGGAAAACTACATCTCCAGCAGCAGTAACTTTTTCTTACCATATCAAACACAGATGAAAGAAATCAACTCATGTTCTCCAACCAACTTTTTATACAAAGCATTTAAGAGCTGTAAAATTCAAGTAGGCTGAGGGAGAATCTTATCAATGTGTATAAATACTTGATGGGAAGGTATAAAGATCAAGCCAGACAACACTCAATAGTATCCAATGAAAGAACAAGAGTCAACAGGCAGAAATTGAAAAATTGAAACACAGGAAATTGTTTAATTATAAGACAAGCTGCTTCTTTTTTTTAAAAAAAAAATTAATGGTGATCAAACACTGGAACAGGTTGCCCAGAGGCTGTGGACTCTCCAGCCTTGCTGACACTCAAAACCCAACTGCACACATGCCTGAGCAATCTGCTCTAGTGGATCCTATGTTGAGTAGGTGAATTGGACTGGATGACCTCCAGAGGTCCCTGCCAGCCTCAGCCGTTCTGTGATTCTATACCTGATCTCAGAGAGAGAAGACAATCTTAAGAAGCAGAAAGTTACAGAGGGGAAAAAAATGTTCAATTTAAGTGTGCAAGCAAAGCTCTCAGATGAATTTTTGCTCTCCTATAACTAGAAAGATGTGATGGCACACAGTCTTTCCAGGCAGAACTCACCATTTAACAGGAACAGTGAGGCTATGTAACTAAATGGAGTAAAAAAATAAAATAAAATCCACACCTGCAAAATCATGCACCTGGCATTTCTGGATCTGAGGCTGGTAGAGAGATCAAATGCTTTTGGGAAAGTCTGTTACAGTTCTGCTTTGTTTAAGTAAAATAATTGTACTCTTTTATAATCAATGTGAACTGCAAAGCCATGGTTTCACAATCACTTGGCCCATCCTCAGACTCTAACCTAACTCCTCTCATCTTCCTTGTACTGCCACATATGGCTGAAAACAGATTAGTTTTCAACCAGATTGGTTGTCTGCTCTGGTTTACCACATCGCCATACAACTGGTAGCAAAGAGGAGAAGGTGTGAAGATGAGGCTAGAGGCATAACCAGTCCTCTTAACATCAGCCTGCATATCGGTCATATTAAAGTGTCTGAAGAAACACAGCATCAAGTCATTAAAAAAAAAATACAGAGGAAACTAGCCCATTGTGAAGAGATGAAAACACCACACTGAACTATCAGACATTTCCTCCTCTTTAAAGAAACCATAAAATTACAGCTTTTCACCAACTAGAAGACATAAATCAAATTTCTGTTTACAGAGCTATGATTTTTATATCTGTATTTTTAAAATATCTTCAGTTTTTAATTTTGCCCTGGAAGTACAGAATTCAACTGTTACTAATGACATGTGCCTACTTTGACTCACTGAAAACCTTTCAGAAAGAACTGTTCCAAATCAGTGAAAAATAAAGACTAACGAATGGTTTTCAACTCAGTTATGTGTATCTGAGCAGACAGGCTCTTAAAAGCTGAGCAGCTAGCTGCACATCTGACACTTAAAATGCTACTCCAGACTAATTGCTTCAGACAGCAATCTTCAACACTTTTTCCAGAACAGACATGGAAAGCATCGGAGTTCCAAATGTAAAGTGAGTTGCTCTCTGCAAACTGACTGACAAGCATTCCCCCCCTCCCCATATCCTGCATTAATATTCTTGTGACTTGGAGACAAGGAAACGCTCCTGTTTTCAGCAGCACACCTACCAGCTGCTTTCAGAAAGAGTCTCACTGACGCCACTTCCCTGCCAGAAATATCCTTCCTAGCACAAGATGTGGGAGAGATTTTATGTGAGACTGTTCAGCTCCATACCTTTTTGGCTTTCCAGATCAGAAGCATGAACCCTATTTATCACTGTTTGTTTACACATTTGGTTACTCTTCTGTTTACACAAACATTTTTCTAAATGCAAACAGTTGTAAAACCACTATTTTCAAGCTGCTACGAGCAGCTGCTGTACAAAAGTAATGAACAGAGTGAAGGTTTTGAGGTAGGCACCTCTGGTTTAATCACTTACTGTCACTACCAAAATGAAGACGATCAAAGTCAGCTACAGAAGAGCTTTTTTGACAGTTAAGACATCTTGAGAGCTATGCCCTTCGTGCATTTCCTTGTAGAAAAGCAGAAGAGCAGTGCCTTTAACAGAGGTGTAGGCAAGTCTAATTAGAGCTGCATGAAGTGACGCTATCATCTTGTATAACCACCATGTTCTCACATGGCTCTGTCTGTCAGACACAGTAAACCTTCATATGAAATGACAACCAAAAGAACTTGCCTAAAATGCAGAATTTTTAATACTAATAAGCCCTATTTAATAGGAAGCTGACTTTAAATGGAAAGTACACACCTAAAGAGAACATTACCTTGACAGCTGAGGTGACAAAACTGCTCCCGTGGGTCTTTGATACAGGAGATGAAGTTCCATGAGAGGCCTGACAAACACTGGTCAGTTTGCTGGTTGGGCTCCCTGTGTATCGGGAAATAAAGCAATGTTGGGTGAGGGCCAGGGAGCAGTGCCACTGAACACATGAAACCTCTTCTAGTGAGAGATGTAACATTTCATTTCAACTCTGTATTCCCCGTGAGGTACGTCAGAGGGAGTTGGCATGGGCACAAAACAAATCCACTACCAAATTTCCACCTGCAGAATCCATGCCCCAGAGAAGGTCTCTCCACCCAGAGCTCCACTTGCTGCAAGCAAATGGTCAGGCACCTTCCCGGGTGGCTATCGGCTAGAGGGGTGAAGATGTGAAACTAGGACAGTAAATGAGCTGCCAGTCAGAACCTGCTGCTGCAGATGTAACATTCTTCATTGTCCAGAAGCCCTCTGAACCTACACTAGCCCTAGACACTGGCACAGGGGAAGGTTTGGAGGAGGCTGGAGCGGGAAGGAAAAGGAAAGCCTGAAAAGGAGGGAGACAAAGTGGGGAGTAACAAGAGGAAGGGAAAGAGTGAACAGGGTAAAGGAAGAAACAGAAATAAGGAATGAAGACACAAGGTCGTCAGCCTGCAGAAGACAGCTCTTGCAAAATTAACACCTGGATACATATGCCACAGCACTCTCCTGACCTGACCCACCCCCCCAACCCCGAGCTGGTTCAGTGGTAAACTCACCCTGTGTTATCAGAGTGTATACACAGCACTTTGTTGTCACTGCTTTTGGTTTGGTATGTTAGTTTTCATTTGTTCAAGAGAGGCCAAAGCCATGGAGTACACACACAAAAACACAGTAATAGCCTCAGACAGTGGCACTACGATCTACACTTAAAAGTAAATGGATAGCCACTTCTTGAAATAATGGGGTTTAGGAAGGCTGGCTTTCACACAGCAGAAACATCTTGCCCCTGTTTTAAAATATGATCTGTAGTCTTATCAGTGGCTGTCTGTAGAATCCCATTACTCTCAATCCAGCCTGGCTGCTGTTGCCAAAAAGCCAGTTCCACATTCCCTCTCGTTCCTTCATACAGGGTCAGGCAATGAGGCTATATGACAACAAAGCTCATCTGGGGAGGGGAGGGTATTAATTTTCTGGTCTGCCACTGATCTAATCCAAGTTGTGCAGGATATGGGGGAAGTGGCAGGAGTGCAGGGGAGGGAGAGGCAACAGGCAGTTTCTTCCAGGCCAGTCTGTACTTACATCACACTGATGTGATGGGAAACTGTACCTTTAATGGTGTTAAGACTTGCATGTCCAAACCATCTGGTGCATCTACAGATCCTATCCCTCAATGTACAAATCTCTACTAGGAGAACACAAAAGTTACCCAAACCACGATAAACTACATATACAGAGTAGACAGTCAGGCTGGAGGTAAAGAAGAAACAGAAAAGGAAAAAGGCAGAAAACCCCCGACCAACCAAATAAAACCCCACCCTATTGCTGAAACAGCTTCAGTGTTACCAAGAAAGCCCCAAAACATACTTTAAAAAATTCAGCTATGACTATGCTACCCCTACCAATTCCCTCTGTGATGAGGTTAAAATGAACATGACAGCTCTGTTCCCTCAGATAAAAGGAGGAACCATTATTAAGTGAAGAATTTTTGCACTGTCCAACCATGCCTAGCAGTGTTACATAGATGCTGCACTTGACCATGTGGCTCTGAACACCCTTCTAAGGTGCTGACAAGTACACACACACACACAAGAAAGTGTGTTTTTAAATAGACGGTGGTTCTTGACCACTAATCACAACAAATATGACTTCTGAGTGACCTTTCCTCCAGCCACAACACAAAGATTACCAGTTGACTCCCACACCCATCTCCTGCAGTCTCCTGCAGTTCAGTCCTCTCCCCTGACTCCTGGCTTATGTCACCACTGAAGCACTGAGGGAATCCAGTCTAAGGAATCCCAACTGGCTGGAATCAGACCAGCTAGAAGTTGAGTAGTAACAAAAACCAGCACGGCTGTTCTCCTGGTAACTTAGATCTACACATTTCAACACATCTAGAGCACTGTACACTGGGACCTAAGACTGATCTGCAAATCACTGCAAGCTCTCCATGTGCTTTGTCCACATCCATGACAGAGTTTTCACCCCATCACCTGTGCACTGTTTCTGTCTAAATCTCTGTGCACTGGTCTACATTACTTTCTCCCCTTCCCTTGCTGCCTGCAAAGAACAGGCTCTCTTTGAAGAGGTATCTGTGAATTCAATCTGGCCTTACAGTAAGCACTGTTTCCTAAAGGAAGTTATGTTTAAATCTGAGATACCCTTAATCATGTTCCACAGGCCAGTTGCGCAAACCAACAATACCTCCCTCTTTCTTTGTCGACGACTTTTCCATCTTCGCAAGTTGAAATACTGTTATTATACTAATTATTTTAAAGGGAGAGTAAAGTTGAATGGGTAAGACTAAGCCACTGCCCTCTGTGATCACACTACACACCTGTGCTTGTGGCTGCTGCTCCAACCATCTGTCCAGGCTTGTCCACAATAATATATGGATTATTAACAACTGAACTAGCAGAGCCTTGCTTCATGTGCACCGGAGTGGAGGTTGGGGTACGAGGTAGCGGAGATGGACTAGGGGTTGATATTGGAGAACCTTAAGAAAAAAAGTCCAATGCTTCTATCTTGTAAACATTTTAAGAACATAAAAATACAGCAGTAGTAGTAGTACTTTTTAACTTAGAGAAGGAACACGTTTTGAGGATGCATTTCCCAGCCTGAGCGACATCACAGGACTTGGAGAAGGAAAGAGGAGACAGAAGAAAAAAGCATGTAAAGCATTATGGCTCATACCCACCCCAGACATTCTGTGCCTACTAGGACAAGTAGGGTTCAGAGGAACCCAGAGAAGTCATCTGGTCCACCTCTGAATCCTGAGGGACATTACCTAAATCATTCTCACTGCCAAAACTAGTCCACCCAAGGGATGAAAAAAAGAGAGCCAAGCTCCTTGATAGGCGCGCTCTCTCTCACTCGTGGAGCCCACAGTACAGGCATTCTGAGCCAGGAACTAAGCAGTTCACATAAAAAGGCTGCATGATACAGCAGCCATCAGACAGGCATGGATGCACTTGTCTCTTCACTGCTCTCACCACAGCAGAAGCCCTTGAAAGCAAACTGTAAGATGAGCAACTTCTGGGTAACAGGACAAGGAGAGAGAAAAACTAGAGAAGAAAAAGGCTGCATGAGGGGATAAACAAGAAATGCAGAGAAAGGACAGGCAAGGAAGTGATCAGAATAAAGAAACAGCACAAAGCACAATAAGCTTCAATTGCCTGTTAATCTGCTTTCTTGGCAGTGATTGACAATTAAAATGGAACAAATGCTGGTCAAATAAAACCTCAATGTCTTACGAACTGCTTCTGAAATCTAAAAGGAGTGACAGTTCTTGTCAGACAGTGGAACCTTGGAAAAATATTGAGCAGGGAAACATTTAAATAGCAAAGATCAACACAAAAGAGTCCAAGGATTTTAAGAAAGATAGGATGGCTCCTGTAATTCTTGCTTTCTGGGAAGCCTTGGGAAAAGAAGATCAAGATAAGAGCTTATTAAGAAAGAAGAAAGCACTCGGCATAGGTTCAAATGTAAATCAGCCTGAGTACCTTTTTAAGATGTCAAGGAACAATACTGAAATTTATAAAAAAAACAACAAACCAGACACACTTGAGGAAAATTATCTAGGAGCAGATCGTCAGAAATCACACATATTGATAGCTGGTGCTTCATTCTCTCTACCCTGAACACCAGAAAATGAGTGAGTTGCACATTAAAACTTTCTGATGTAAAACATCATCCAGTGGGTGGTATCATGGCCAGGCAGGGAAGGAACTCTAAGTGAAATGAGTAAACAGCACCTTGGCCATGTTTAGTTCAGAAGCTGTTAAAAAAGTATCACATTGTTCACTGCAGTCAGCTGACAACTTAATCCAGAGGGCGGACTTTTGGAAGAGGAAGACCAAAACTGTTCCATCTGAGGAGATATTGCAAGTCCAAGAGGGACCATTTGAGTCTATAAGGTTGAACAATTATTTGCCCAATAATCAGGAAAAAAATTTTCTTCTTAACGCATCCCAGCTGTCTGAAAAGTGGGAGGGAGAAGAATGGCTTCTTCCCACATACAAATACCCCACATGGACGATGGTGCTTGCCTGGGCCTTTCTGTGGGTAGCAGTCCAGTTAGACTATCTTTTTCATGCTTAAAAGCATTCAAGAACAGGGAGAGAACAGCTCTCATCCTGCTTTTGATCTGATGTGAAGCATTTCACACTTCTATTTCTTTTCCTTGAACATTAAGAAGTGTGTTTAGCTCCTTATTCTAGAGTTTCCTACTGCCTGATATTCAAAGATTGGCAGGAAAACAGGGGAAGGACACAAAACAAGTCCAACTGGTTCACTCTCTTGTTTTCCAGGGTGAAGCACTGGGGTAAGTAAACTAACATTCACCTGATACAATCTTGCAACTCATGGTGATAGGCTGGAAGGATTTTCCTGGTGACTCTGCAGGGCTTGGACTCTGACCTTGAGGCACTATTTTACAGCTAGCTGCAATGGGTTGAAAGGCTGAATTTCCTTGAGAGCCAAAGGCAACTTTCTGTGTGGCTAACTTGGTGGGAGTCCGTTCTATCGAAGATGGCAGGGAATAAAACGTGGCATGTCTTTCGGTTTCAGCATTCCCAGGGAATCCTGATTAAAACAGGGAAAAGAAGAGAAATAGTTCTTAGGCTGAGAAATCTAATTCCCTTCTGCGCTTCTCTACACAAACAAAATTCAGGTACAACAAATACACTATTGAAGGAAGGAAGGAAAAGCAACTGGTGGGCAGTTTTGAATGAGGAGAAAGTAGGGTAGGGGGTTCCTCCTACGCAAGCCTGTCGGATCTGTGTCTGAACAGAATAATAACATGCTACTGTGCACAGGCTGTTCAGCTGTGTCAGGTGATCACCCACTTACATATTTTCTTGGAACAACCACTTTATTGACCAAAAGCTGCTGGTAGTTTCAAGTGTCCTCAGTTAGAACTCCACAGGGCTAAGGCTAGATCTTTCACAGAGAATCTCACAGCATATTTTTTGGTGTAAGAGCACAAGCAGACCACCTACTGCCTTTTCACCTGATTCACCTTATCTGATGCAGAAGACCAATTAACCTGGAGCTGGTGAGAGAAGTCACTGCCTGTCAGTGTAAGAGAGGCAGGTTTACTTCCTTACTGTTGGCTGCAGCACTGCTCACATAAAAGGTGCTGCATATCTTCCTTTTTGAATAAAAAGTCTGTGCATTTAAAATCTGGCTGTGTTTCTTCTTTTTTGGCCACAAGAAAACATCACATTCTTCTTGCTGAGCCAGAACACCGCCAGTGGCATCATGGCACCTATCAGAAAGAGCACTATGCAAGACACCAACTTAAACACAATTCCATGACCACAGAAATGTCAGGAAGAATCAAGAAAGCCGTCAGACCATGTTGCACGTGACCATATTTTGAAATATAAAGTTGCTGTTTCCAGCAAGTTTCTCACACTAAAATGTGCAAACCATAAAAGACACCCTTGTTTATCAGTCCAGTTAACCAAGGTCTGTCATGTAAGCCTTGACACCATACATTTCAGAAAATAAAGCCAAATGCTAACAGAGGCACAGTTTTTCCTACTTCAGGCAAACTCAGAATCGTAACAGTGTGCCCAAGAGGCCAGCACTAGCTTATTTCAGGCAATTCAAATGATCTTAAGGCATCAACTGCAGCCCCCCTGCAACAGACGCCACATTTCCTGATCTTACAGGGGCTGGTGAGAATGAGACCATGACATGCACAGATGCCATCCCTCAGACAAACATACACTACATCTTTTTCACTTTCTATTTTCAGCACCACAATTATATAGCCATTTCTGTTCCCCCACAGTCAACTCATGTTAGGCAGCAACATATTTAACTGAACACACCATTAGACCAATTTCTTAAATGTATACGCAGTCCCCCAAACATTCAGAAACCTAGGAAACCTTCTGAAAACAGTCTGCCAAGAACAAAACTACAAATGCTATTCAACAACCTTTTTTCCAGCTGCATCTGCTGCATAAAGCTCCATATTCACTAACGTTAGCAAAACAGAGACCACTCAACAAACTCCAGATTTAAAAAATGCCCCAAAAATCAAACCCAAAACCCAGATAAACTCTAACAAGTTCAGAATTACACTTCATAGTACATTGAGTAAATGATCATCTGGGGTGAGCAAGGAGAAGGTAGCACTGGCAACCTTTAAGTCACAAGAGCAATTAAGAGGAGGTATCCAGAAGAGCTGAAGTTCCAAGAACTCAAAATTTCACCAACAGTGATTTGCTTTACCTTTGTCCACGGAAGCATCTGGGCTGGAGTCCCGCAACTGTTTAATTGGTGAAGAAGCCTTGACTGGGGCTGGGATATTCAATGGCAGTGGTAAAGATGTAGGAACATCTGAAAGGTCAGACTCTGAAGACTGGGAGAAGAGATACTCCTCGCCAAGGGAATGCCTATGTAGCTCCACATCCACTACCTTCCAGAAATAGGAGAAAGGATGACATTAATATTTGGTAGCTGGATAAAGATGTAAAAAGTGAAAACAACTATGCCTTTTCTTTTTATTTTAATGTCTAAAAACCTCTCCTCTCCCCACCTCTGCATAACATTTCCATTCATTTCAGGGACACTTCCCAGAGGTCCAGCAGCACCCAAGCTAAGACAAAAATCTTCCAACATTTAACCCCCATGGCAAAATAGCGCATCTCTCAGTCCGTGGGAAGATCTGAATAGTGAATCCTGGAAGGAATGCAGAGCTGAGCTCCAAGCATCCCACTAAGGAAAGGACTGCATAACCCCTTAGGGACAGGCACAAAACCACAGCTTGCCTTTTCTGCCTTTTTTTGATAAGGCCTTGAGAAACACACCACATTATCTACTCTTCAGAAGTGTTCTTTAAATCGCAGTAGACATCTCACATTAATGTTTTGTCCACAGACTGAAAAGCTGAAGTAATGCAATTTCACCATAAAAATTTCCATTCACTACAGTACAAGGGGAAAATAATACCAAAAAACCCTTTAGAGATACAGCAAACAAGTTATTAATTAGTTTATTTTAAGTTTAAAGAGTTCATTTTCCATGAAGATACTGAATTCTGACAGATGCAGAAACTCAAAAGTACTTAACATACTGCAAAATTTCAGCAGAAAAGAAGTTTAAAGGGTAATCCCTTTAACTTCTATTCTTTATGTATGAGATCTGCAGCACATCAGAATGCAAATCGAGTCATTTGGTACCAGAAGCTCCACAAAGAAATAAAAATTGAAACTGTAGTAAAAGTTAAGGTCTTTATGAAAGAGCTGGTAATACTCTCTCCTGAACTAGAGAGGAGAAAAAAATTACTGTTGTCATGAATAGTGACAAGGTGACATAATCATGTAACAAGAGAGCAAAATCTACATTCCAGAAATCATGAGATCAAATGGGTCTGACTCTGTGCTTAGTACCATGTATCTTTTTCTTTTTAAACATCCTTAAGGGAATCAAAGTCCAACACTCATCTTGCGACCCGCTGACTCACCGTTTCTGCGCCAAGTGTCTGCAAGCCTGTGTAGGTCCTGTCCAACTGGGTAAAACAATATAATATATTTATATTAACCAGGGAAAAGCAATATATTAGCTAGAATTTACAATACAGTTGTTTGAAAGAAGTTGAAACTATGTAAGTTGAGCAGCAGTGCATCCAAGTTTTTGGAGACCACAGGGTCAGAAATCTGTGTACTCTGTTAAGTACCCTATCTTCTGCAAAAAAGTCAACCACAGCCAAGATGAAGGAAATAAGATTGTTAGGGAAATATTATTTTAGACTAAGACAAGCCTTTGAGGAGCGTCCTTTTTTATTCCTGATGTCAATATAAGGGAATGATAATGAGAAAAAAAAAAATCAAAGAGATTTAAACTGACCAGCACGCAGGCTATGTTTACACTCTAATTTTTGATTCACTGTTCACACTGAGAATCAGTTGATAGAGGCAGAAAATCCCAGAGATTATCTAAGATATCTTTAGAGAGAAGCTGGGTTTGACAGGCTCACACTGCCCTGGAGCTCAGACTGGCAGCCACAGAGGAGGACTCAGCTCACTCATCACTTCACAGCTGCCACAGGCTCCATACGTGAACAGCAACGATTTGCTGACTGGAGTTCTTGTGTGCCATGGACTGGCTCAGTTTTTGTCTGTAGGCTGGGCTTCCTTTGATGCACAATGTCCATCTGTTACCAATTTCCCCCCAAGTTATCTCTCTTCAAATATATTTTACTCACCATCTGCATTAAATGTCCCTAAGTTCCAGAGGAAAATTTTCAATCTTCTCTACTGTTTATATTTGGGGTTGCAATGAGGTATCTACATTGCATGAAATTCATTAATGCAGGCAGAATTTAAATAAAACTAATCATGCTGCTCAAAGAAACAGGAAACTAAACCAGCTCAGGACTTAATTCCACTAACGCTAGGGACTACTTATTAAAAGGAAAACAAGAGCAATGACCTAGTTTTCCAGGACTACTGCATACTATAAATCCTATCAAGTGTCACAGCACAGGTGAATGAGTTGAAAAAGAAGGCTCTCTTCAAAAGGCACAAGGAATGAACGGGGAATCTTAGCCTGCCCACTCTAACGAGAGATAATCTCTAACCAATATGTGCAAGTGCTGAAGGAACAGAACAAATCTAACAATCCCTTTACCAACAGAAAGATAGCCCTGCAGCACCCTGTCCAGTTAGAGCCAGCGACAGCACAACAAAAATCTTAGACTGCAGGGAAACAACAGGTAAATGCTTTGCTGCTGTGTGTAGAATCAGTTCCAGCCTCTGCAAAGCTGCGTTCCTTGGCTCCCACATTCACTCCAATATAGCCAAGGTAAGAGGCTTTCCTGGATTTTTTTTGATTCTCCAGCTCAACTATACATGTGCAAATAACCAGTAGGACATACACACAACAGAGAGGCAGAAACACACACACACAAGCAAAGCCTCTTCTAGATTTTGCAGGAGAGCTCATTTAATCGCCTTTCTCTGATATTTCGTTCAAATACCTTCAAATTGTGTATGATATCAATCCTCTTGTTCTGGCTATCCTTGAAGTGTATCTGGACTCTCACTGGAAATTCTCCCCAGCCTCTCCTGGTCAGGTGAAATGGAGGTTCTCTGCAAACAAATGGTGATTCACACTTTGGATGCAGAAGTAGCTTTCACCTATCTCTTCTTCAGAAAGCCAAAGACTGCTTTCTAGCTGACAACTAAAGCTATCTTCAGGCCTGCTATTCACCAAAGACAGAATGCAATCACAAAAATTAGAATTTTGTGGCTTTGGACAGCTGAAAACATACTTTTATTTTGCACGAGGGGAAAGGGAAGAAAATGGGAAGACATTGTTGGATGAGAGCACACAGCAAACAAACATTTTTTTTAAAAAACAACAAAAAAGAAAGGCTGTGTAATGCCAAATGAAAAATATGTGTTTCAAAAAACCCCAAGTCAGCTGCTAGGACATACCAGTAAGGTGAGTTTTCAATGTAGCATTTTGCAATCACTTTCTGTTATTCCCTATCTAGTAGCAAGAAGGCACATGTTTCACATAATGCCAAAAGAACAACATACAGACAAGAAAAAGCTAATTCAACACTGGCATTCTCCAAGCTGAAAAAGAAGGGTATACTTGTCTCTAAGTTTGCTGTTACTTTCTTCATATTTCAGCTTGTTTTTTATTGTAAATCCTAACTGCAGTTTTGCAATGAAACAGAACGCAAGAGGCTTAAAGGTTATTTTTAGTCCAGAATATTAATGTTCACTATGACAACTGGGACTGTGCAACAAGAAATCAGTTAACCAGACGGGATTAAAACAGAAGACAAACAGCACTAACATCAGATACTGGAAACTCAGAAAGGCAAAAAGACAGCAGTCAAGTGTAATTTAGTATGTTATATAAGAAAAACAAAGGAGTCTGCTTTCATTGTTCTCAAGGTTGCCTTCTCAGAAACATTACTGAGGCATACCAACACTTCTTATTTCAGATAAGTCTTTCTCGAGTTGCCTTTCAGCGGTTTAATTTAGCCAGAATTAAGCTGCCATCCTGTACCTAGGCAGTCTCCCCATGCTCTTCCAGGAGGCAGCTGAGCATGCTGTGGAGAAGAATTTCTTTGGGAGGACACAAAGTAGTTTGAAGGCATCCTCCTGCTGTGTTGTCCAAAGGAGCAAGAATGAAAGACTGACAGGGCACTTCCCTGCAGCAATCAATAGAGAATCGACCCTGCTCACCTCATTAGGGTCACAACTTTGAATACAGGTTTGGGAGAGGACAGAGAAGCTGCTCTGTTTCTGCAGCATCAGCACCATTACACTGATGAAGCATGAAGCCAGCACCACTGACCTCACTACACTGGAGAAATATTTGGGAAGAGGATACTATTTCTTGCCCAAACGCACACTTATCACTAAAACTATGGGCAAAACAGCTTTCCAAGGCTCCTCTTTTTTTATACACTGTAATGGATGGGAGGTAGTAAACACCTCTTTTATCAACAGAAGTCTAACCTGAGCAGCAGACAGTGTAACGCATACAGGAGACACACAGACTTGCATGAATAACATGAAATGCAACAACTGAATGCTTTTTCTCAGTAGGAAATTAAAAAAAAAACCAAAAACACTGCTTGGTACATTTGCTACATAAAAACTTATTTATTTTTACTATTCTTTTGGACTAAGTCAAGCCAAGACAGACGTGGAATACTAAAGACATGTTAAGACAGACATGGAATACTAAACCAGGAAAAGAAGTTGCTAACTTTCTAAGAACCTTGGCACTGTAAGCCTGGCAAGCATAAATACTGGAATAGTCCCTGGAATAAAACCTTATTACCTCACTTCTACCAGGTCATTAGGTTTGTAACTGGGATGGAGGAAGAACCAAACTTTCTTGACAAAATGATTTATGCTGGGTTCTCTCCGGGAGCCTCGGACATACACCATCCATTTATGGGTCGACTGATCATTTTCTTCTCTCTTGTCAGGGGGAATGTACCTGGCAAAGAAAGTAAAAAACAAAACCAAGATAAAAATCCCAAACAGATAAATACGAGAAAAAAGTATTTTGGAAAAGATTAAGGAAAAAAAATTGGGGATGGTAAAATTCCTATGTGAACCTTGCCCCCTGTACGGTTCTGCTCGTAATTCCTTACTGACAGTTCATCCAGAAACAGATACAGGTACCATGATCTACTCTACGCTTCCAACACATTTCCTCTATTTTAGTGCACAACTGCCATATGAAATTTGCCCACTTAAACATTTGGCTCTTAATTAGGAAGACAATTTTAACACTCTATCACTGTCAGATCCCTTTCCCCAGCTTATTCCAAGATATCAGGAAGCAAAACTGCACCAGAACACTACCAGCAACTGCTACCAGAAATAAAAAAAATAAAAGTTCTTCTTATACATTTTTAAGAAACTTCACAGTCAATACTTTGTTCCAGATCCAGTCTTAGGCAGATTTTCAAGAAACAATTCTAACATCATAAGTCTCGTCAGCAAACGTTTGCTACTTTCTATGCAAGAAGAGGAAAAGACCAACGTGAGTAGTGTGAGGGTGAAGTTAAAACCTGGACTTGCACATAGTTTCCTAAAATAAATGCATTTTTTCATTAATTTCCTCAAAGTTCAAAAGTTATGTATATTTACCTGTCTTAAAGTTTGAGGAGGAACAAAAAATTTATAAAAACTGTACAAATTAATTTATTCAGACTATGCTGCACTGTAACAATATTCCTCATTCTGGTGGTTTGGTTTGGTTTTTTAGTTTAAAAAAAAATACATTGTTCCTATGGACACACTAAATTAGCCATTAGGACAACTTGGTTTTCCAAATTTTAATGGAAAAATTTGGCATTTTTAACTGGTCAGAAAAGGCTGAAAGACTCCCCTTGAGAGAAACAGATCTTAAAATCTCCATATATCTATCTAAAAAACCCAAAACAACTACTGCAACACTAGAACACTCTTGCAGACGCTAGAGGAGAGCAGCCTTGGGTACAGTGATTATTCAAGGCCCTTATCTCATATTGTGACAGTCTAGCAACTTTGTCTCCTAATTTTAACCTCCTACTCCATCTAATCTTGAAATAAAAGGACCATCCCTCAGACTCTGGATACTAACTTGGAGACGTTGCCAACCACAATTGTTTTCTTCACATAAAGCCGTGAGGTTTCATCATTTGACAGTCCGGCATTTCGCTGTCCTGGTTTTTGAGAGCTGGAAACACCTGAACTGTCCTGAGGATAGGGGAAGAAAAAAAAAAAAACAGGCAAACAAAAAACCAAACATTCCTCTTAAACATCATTTTATTTGGTGCTAGAAAAGTAAGGTGTTGTTAAAAAAGTAAACCTGTATAGCTAAATGAGAGACCAACAACGAATCATCCCTAAAAATACTTAAATTGCTATCTAGGCACGCTGAAGTAACTCAGGCATGCAACAATTACATACTACCTAGCCAAGTGTACACCGCATAGCTTAACTGAGCATACGTTATGCAACATACCATGGATCTGAGCCATGATTTCAGGGTTTTGGGTTTGGGTTTCAAAAGCACTGCCACTGCACTATCAGAAAAAAATCAAGCACTGCTAGAATGACATCATGTTGGTCACTAATCAGAAACACAGCAATATCTCCCATGAGTGGCTTCTGAAAATCTAAATCTTTCTCATTCCCAGCCTATACTGCTTTGAGGGACTCCAGCGTTGCTTCTCAGTGAAGAACTGAGGCTGAGCTTGAGACCAGAATTCAGCTCCAACTCAACAGGGATAGGAGTCAGCCATGTCACATCTCCATAAGCCTACAAATCCACTGTAATACTTGGGCATAATAAATCCAGCCTAAGCAACATCATAACACAACCTCAGCTATTAAGCAGTGGCCAAGATTCCCTGATAAAATGATGCCATGGCTGCCCACAGTGCCAACGCAGGCTGCACTGTCATTTGCACAGGAATGAGAGGCTTTTCTGTAACTCTGTTGGTAGAGGGGCAGCCCTGAGAATAAGGGACTGTCATCCTCTCATGAACAGAGTTGGTGCTGCAGCTTCCTGGAGCATACTCTGCTGAGCACTTGTCAGACAACTGTCAGCATGGGGAGCAGTGGATTCACTAGGAACTGCTACACCTCCTCTTGTTAAGTCAGTGATGCCTTAAACTGAAGCTTGGAGCCACAGAAGGCTGGGATGACTCCTGCTCCTCCTCATCACTCCCTTGACCACCTCTGGGTCACAAGCTGCATTGGTCAAAAATGTAAACATGCTACACCCAAGCAATGCAACTGCTCCATCAATGCCCCCAGTTCAGAAACAAGTGACATTGGTCTGGTGGTTTACGATATAGGTGGGTCCACATTCTGCATGTGGAATGTGTATCCACCTTCTGCAACAGACCCTAGGCAGGGTTTCAACAAACTGCAGCTCCATTATTGAGGGTGTCAGGCTGTTCAGAGGCAGAATCATTGGTCTTTCTGCCACATATTATTGCAACTTTTTCACTTGCAGAATGCAGTCACGTGCAGTGAGATATACACATCCCTAGTCTGGGTTAAAGGCTGTACTCCTCTGGCAGGCCTGACAGCTTAAAAGAACTGAAAAGAAAATGGAGAGTTTAATTTCCCCAGTTAAGGCTCATTTCACTTACAGCCAGCGAGAGCCTGCCCAGTGGAGCTAACTGCAGCCAATAGGTAAAGCATTTCTGTAGCTGCAAGGCGAGCCATAAAGGGAATGGATCCAGGTCAAAAATACCCCAGAAAAAAGTATGGGGGAACAATGACAGAAGGTCTTTTTAACCTGGGTCAGTCTGGTTCAGTTAGGCAAACAGTGATATTAGCATAACAGCAAGCAGCACCACCAAGAGAAAAGTAACTCAAATGATGCACCCAGGCTCTACCAGCTCATGCTCCCAGGGTGAGCTAACCCACCAGAGTCACTATGCTTTTATCACAGGCTGCTTAAACCCCAAACTCCAGTGGATCAACCACTCTAAGCAACCCTGTGGGCACCCAGGGCCAGGCAGCAGCATTACTTCATAAAAACACTGCTGGAATAACACATCTTGCTCTTCTCTCCAGGCTCTACTCTTCCTGACTTGACTTCTATCTGCACTGCAAAACCCTTTGCTCAAGCAGTAAAACGCCTCCTTCCCAGGAGGCTGCCAACCGAGACAGCGGCAGAGAGCTGTGTGAACACAATGCTACCACCGCTGCCTGACTGACCTCTCTGTCGGGCAAGACTGAGTTAAGAGGAGTTACCCAAGTTACATACACTTCAGTTAGCCTTACAGCAAAGCCAGGCTGAGACAGTGGGAGCAAGCGGTTGGAGAGGGTAAGAAACAGATCTTCAGCAAGGTGGGTGAAAACATGAAGAGCTCCTGGTGCCAGCACTGAGTCCAGACAGAGCACACACCTCCAACAACTTGACCACCACTCGAGTTTTACTTTACCCGGCCAGTATTTCTGCTCTGTCTCTGGTCCAGGCTGTTTGTCAGCCGCTCGTCTGTGTCCAAGTTGCCATTGTCTTTGTCCAGGAGAAAGTCATTGTGCTGAGAGAGCGAGTCGCTCTCGGAGTGGTTAGCAGATGGAGTGTCTGAGCCCTGGTTAGCTGGAGATGATGATCTGGAGGGCGATTCCAAGAATTTCTTGATTGAAGGGTGATTAAGAATTGTTGCATCACACGACCTGGTCCCCTGCAACAAAGAGGTCAGGCAGATCCAGTCACTATTTCTCTGCAGCCCAGATAAAAAGCAAACTGCACCAGAAGAAAATATGTCAATGTATGAAGAAAGAACAAATATTTAATCAGCTGCCCTGCAGGAAAATCATATGCCACAGAAGACAAAAGCTTAAAACTGTTCTACAGAAACAGCATCCCAAATTGAATCTGATCCTTTAGACATTTTTATCTCAGAAACCCACCTGGTTTTGGAAAGAACTGCAGCCTACTCAAATACCTATAATGGCGTTTTGAAAAACGTCTTCTATTCCTGTGCAGACACCTATAGCCTTTTGCCATACACAGAAAGGCCACAGCTGCCTGATTCTTGCAAGCAAGCCGGGTACATAAATGCACCAGGCTCTTTAGTTTTGATACTCATTGGTAGTCTTGTCAATGCCTATGAGTCAAGCTACACGTATTAGCACCCTGTCTGCTCCCAAAGCTTAATGGAGGATAAAGAATAATGTGCTTAGGCATGCTTGCAAACTTTCCTCAAAATGGATATCTTAGAGCTAATCTTAGATCCTCCTAAACCTGCAGGGGGAGGACAGGGCGGGGGAGTATTTTAATCTCCTTTGTATTTTTCATTACTGTGACAATGGCCCCTTTTCTTCTTTTAACCTCAGAAGTAGTAAGGGAAGCACCCAGCACTCGGAGCAAGTCTCCCTTGGCCACTTCTCCCAGTCACCAGTCCTCCCTGTCACCTTGGTTTGATGATGAATCAAACCAGCAGAAACACCCCTCCGCCAGGGTAGATAGGCTTACAACAGCTCCCGATGCCACAGACTCGCACTAGAGTTGCACTGACAGCTTGTTTTGCAGGCAGTACCAGCTGAAAGAGGCTTCCTTCTTCCCTGCCAGAACCACCCAGATCAGCCAGGCTGGCACAATTATTCATGGGGAGGGGGCAGGTCACAAAGAAAAACAAATCAAGAAACTGATTTGGCTGTTGTTGTTTTGTGGTTTGGGTTTTTTTTATTATTGTTGCTGCTTTTGTTTAGGCTTTGTTGTGTTTTTTTTTTTTCCTTGCAGAGTTTTTAATCCACCTAAATTCCCTGATTCAAAACTCTGCCAATGTGATGGAGGGGGTGGCACAGGGACAAGCACCAGCACCACTATGGAGCAGCAGAACTGCCCTCCAGAGGTGGTAGCAGGAGTGGAGTTAAACATCATCCCACACTGGATTTTAAAGTTTCATTTGAGAGCCTTCTTTCCAATTGTCCATTAGGTACATGAGTAAAGCAATTATCAACTCTCAGTTACCTACTTAGAGTCTTGCATCCATATATCCAGTGGCAGGGACACATACACAACATGACCAAGAAAAACCAAAAACCAAACCACCAGCAAGAATTATTTTTTTTTAAACCTCTAGTCAAGTAAAATGACCAACACCTTGTCCACTAATTTGTGGGAAACTGTCATTAACTGTAATCACATGGAATCATAAGCCTCAAAACCCAGCAGCACAGGGTTGAAGAACTGTTTAAACTTATGAGAACAGGTTAGGAATAAGTTCTGAATTAAACTACAAAGACTCCCATTCTACTAGAAGCAGAAACAAGACAATCATTCACTGTCAAGTCAAACATACATTAACCACACATTAAAAACAGACAACAAAGAAATCTGAAAACAGTAACAATTTCAAAATAAAAAGAGAACTGATTTAGCCTGCATGTAAATCGGGACTTAAAAAAAAAAATGCAGTCGAAGATACAGCTACACTAGCCATAAGCTCATAAAAACTACAGGAAAACTAAACAAAGCAAGGATGCATCAGTAAGTTTTGTGAATACTTAAGAACAATTACAAAAGTTGTTGTTTCTGGGAAGTGTGAAAATCAGCAAGGAAAAAACAAACACCCTGCATGGCAGAATAAGTAAAGAACAAGGGACAGTACAGCTCTTGATGACACTGGATGAAAGCACTTCCAAAGATCAGAACCTATGTTACTTTCTTCAGCTGCCTACACAAAAATCAAGGAGGGAAGAGGGATCTCCAAGCCTCCCAATACTACAATAACCTTTTTCAACTACAGTTGTTCACCTCAAGTTCACTGAAGGGAAAAGCAAGCTGAACCTTTTTGGTTTTACCCTACTCCGAGCCTTCTGGAAATCACAGTAGGAAAACCAGGAGCAGCAGTGTGAGCCATTGCTTGGAAGAGAAATTCTCATGGGACTAGTGTAAAACCCAGGTTTGTAGAACCCATTTACAGCTTCCAAAAATCAGCTCAGACCTTTACACCCTGAATTGAAAAGACTATAGGTAGTGAACTACAACTGGGAGTCTGCAGGAGTCAGGAACACCATGCCATTACCAGCCCATTAAGCACAGAGTGCTCAGAACTGGGATTTAACTAATAGGGTTTGGAGCTTGGTTAATCACTCTGTGATAGTTCCTTGATTTACATCCTGCTTTACTGCTGCCATCAGTCTGTTCACCAAACAGACTGGCTGCCAGGGTAAAGGGAAGATGGTTTCACGGCACTGCCAGAGCCTCAAGAAATCTTGATTTATGGGTTGTTCTTTTTTCTCTGATAAATTCCAAACCCCATCTGCTTCTACTACCTTCCTGCAAAACACGTTCCCCACTCTTCAGGGCTTTGCAAAGACAAACTGCAGTGTGTGACAGGCAAGGTGTTCTCATGCAAGAGCTGTTGAAAAAAACAAATGCAGAGTATTTCAGAAACCAGAACCAAGGGCGGCTGAACGACTTCTCAGCTGCCCCTTGAAGACTAGTCTTTGCCAAGTACCTGAGGCCCAGGCAGTGATGTACAAGTCTCCTCTCCCACTGTCACCCCATTTGCAGTTTGTGTTCCACCATTTCAGAAAATCACATCTCAAAACCAAATATCAGCTGAATAGCCAGTGAGCTACACGTCTTCCTTTGCAAATATTCCCCCAAGTCTTATGATTTCCAAAGTACTGTTTACCTCTCCAGCTTTCAGGAGACCGGCGGATGCGTAATAGTTTGCCACAATACAGGCACGCAGCTTATCCATCATCCTTCTTGCTTCAATCAGGCGCTACGAAAAGAAGTAGTAAGATAATGGTTAACGGTTGCAGCAATCCCCTCAAACCCCAATACACCAGGATCTTATGTATTTTTAAGAACAAAACCTTTATACCTGATCTATAACTTCAATTTCATGTTCTTTACTCTTCATTTCGACAGCAAACTGTTCTTTTATAATGGTTTCAATCTTCTGCACAGCAACATCTCGAGCTGTACAAGCGCACACATGGAAAACAAAGAAGGAGGAAGTACTTATATTTCTATTTTTGAGGCTCTATTTGAAAACATGAAGATCAGAAATCGTTATGGAGTGAGAAGTGAAGGGGTAAGTTCAGCACACACACAAAAAAAAGGAAGGATCATTTTTCTGCAAAAGAGAGTAACTGTCTTAACAAAAAACACATGTATCTTTAAAAGCTGGCTTATGTGGAGAGCTATTTTTGCCTTTTTAGGTCTGAGATGACAAATAACACAAGATGGGAAGAACAGGACCAGTTTGTTTACTTCTGTTTCAGTAAAGCTGTAAACAGTAAAAGAAAAACTCAAGTGTGCTACGGCCAAGTGCAGTTACCGCTGCGATTGCGCAGGAGTATGCTGGAACACTACGTACATTTTTCTGCTCTCTTTGGCCCAATTCACATCCAGGAAATTTACACATCATGCAGCAATAATAAGGCAAACTAATACTTGATATGTTCAGCACTGGCATGAAGTCCAGCCTGCTTTGGAGTGCTTACAAGCCTTTTATTACCCACAAAAGAAACTACATTATCGAAAGCTGTTCTACCTCTTAGAAAATCCTCTTCCAGCACAGCAGTCAACAAATTTTAGCCTTTCAGCAGGAGTTTATTGACCTCGGTGGAAAGCATGTAGTTTAATATTTCAAACTGTGTGAATACCTTATTACAAATTAGCAGCCAAGAACTAAATTGTCATCTTATTGTGTTTTTCTAGAACATGTATAAGCATAGGAAGAACAATTCTTTTTGCTCTATTCCTACTGTAGACTTCAATACTGCCCTTTAAGTCACCTCCATTATATCAAGGGGGTTCAAACAACATGATTTTTTTTTTATCAAGTTCTAAGCAAGAAGTTGGAAAAGCAAAAATTGTACTTCTGAAAGAAAGCCTGGAAAAGGTCTCCAGCCTGTGTCAGAAGTACAGTGATCCCACTGCAAAGCAGATCAGAGAAACCGTCTGGGTTCCTCTGAAAAAAGTCTCACACTTTTTCTATGTGGAATAGGAGGTGACAGCACCAAGACTTTGCTTTGAGCTTCAGAGGAAGCATTTGTTTTACTAAAGGGTACATATCTGAAGAGGCTTCTAACATCCCAGTAAGAAAGAGTAAAGAAATCAAAAGCAAGTCAAAACTTTGCTGGTATGTTCCAGCTAGCATACATAATTTCTGATATAATCTGATCTGGTACCTACAACAGAAGCAAGGCAACTGATAATTCTATATGCAACAGGGGTATCCTAAATATTTTTACTTATTTCCAGATGGCCGTATGTATATATTCTAACACCAGAAATAGTCAAGCCTCCATTAAAACAGAATTATGGTGGAATCCGTATGAGCAATGCAAAACTAAAAACCAGAGGGATATAATTTTCCCCCAGTCGTGAACACCATGCCTAGGAAATTCACATGTAAGGCCACACTTAAAATAAACCTAAACAGATTAAGGTATGAGATGTACAGTTCAGACAGGGTCCACTGCATCTCTTCCCAAAGCTGATGTCACGCAACACAAGCATTATGACAATTAAAGCACTTTAGGATTTGTGGTTATATTACAGAAGCTTTTAAGAACACTTTATTTTCATATTTTTCCTAGCTTAGCATCTACTAATTAAGACTGTGTTAGTGAAATCTGTGTACTTGAGGAATTCTTGTATCAATAGTTGGAGATCTTCCATGAGAGGAAGAAAGAAGTCAAGTTAGAGGAATCACCTGAACAGAAAGTTCGCTTTAGCAAGGACAGTTTTCCAAGGCCCTGAGACTTTGCCTGATAATTATTAAGACCATCTGAAAAGTTGCTTCAAAAACAGATTAAAAACCCGTCTGCAGTCCCTGGGACACTCCACCACAGAGGGCGGCGACTTCTGGCGGCCAGGCAGGGCAGGCAGCTTGTGGGGGGTGACACTCTTCTGCCCCTGCCAGCTCCAGCAGAGCTCCACTGTCAGGGCCCCTAACCAACCTGGCAGACAGGACCTGCCCACAAACTCATTCAAGTCGGAGTTCAACCCCCTCAGACTTGTCCAGCTGTACACCACCCTCCATAACATCCCCCACGAAAGACATCATCGGTCCCTCTCCAACTGGCAGCTCCGGCATCCTGCTGTGTTCCTGGATCTTCTTCAGATCCCACAGCCAGCTTCAGTTTTTTCGCCATCTTGTTCATCAGCTCCTCCCCTCACGAACCTCTCACTAGCCGTGTTATGCCAAAACTCACTAATCTACTCCCTGTCCCAGGGGCAAGAAGCTCTACTCTCATTTGCCCAGCGACAACTGCAACCTGTCCCAGGCACCCTGCCAACAGGCTTCTTCCCAAGGCAAGCAAATCTGAGCGTGCCAAATGCAAACCTACTCATCCAGCTACTCTCTCTCTCTCCACTACTTCTTTATCCACCTTTCCTTCAGTCGGGTAGCTGCTCCTCCTCCTCCCTTGCCTCTTTGAAAGTCCTTCTCCCTAACTCATCCCTTCTATGCTGCTGTGTTTCACTTTATCCGCCTACTCCTGCAAACATCTGTCATCTTCCAAGAGCCAGTCTACCTACTGCAGGGTCGTGGATTTCTTCCTGCCGCTGCCGTGCCGTACTCCGACCTGCATCCCCCCACAGTCAAAAAACTGCCAACATTTCTAGAAGCAGACATCAAGTGCAAAACAGACGCACGGGTTGGAGCCCAGCTCAGCATGGGTAACTGCTGGGAAGATGCACTGGGAAAATGCTTCAGCAAGCAACAGGAGTCAACCTGCTGGGCTGTGGCCCTGGAGAGCTCGTGATCTAGCTGCTACTGATAGAGCACCTATTTCTGCATCCTCACGCCTTACTAAGGGTTCAGCCGGCAGGTAGGAAAGGCTCTGTGTACAACAATCACACCCTCCTTTGGCTATACAGAGGTATCACCAGCGCTCTTGCTCCATTCCTGCCCTTTGGCCCCTGAGGCTCCTACCCCAGTCCTGCCTGCAGACAGCCCGTGCGCCCACAGCCTTTCCCATTCCTGCCGGGAGATCCCTCCGGCTCCCACCATCTCCTACCTGACTGTTCGGCTGCTTTGTGGCGCTTGCTGGGATGGGTGACGGTGATCTCTTCGTAATCGGGGTCTTTCTCTGCGATCACTCTCTTGATCCCAGACATGTTCTCTCCACTGCGAGGGAAAATAACAGCATTATCGTCCCCCCACAGCGACCTCCCGGGCGGGCTTCAGCCGCTCCCCGCGGGGAGGCCTGCGGTGCGGCTCCCGAAGGAGCCGGGACACCTCCTGCCCTCCCCGGTTGCTGGAGGTCAGCCTGGAGCCGCACAGCCCCGAGCTGGTCCCGTTCTGCAGCGCCCAGGAGCTCCAGCCGCCGCCGGTCCCCCGCGGCCCCCGGGGGCTGTGCTGCAGCGGCCAACCGCAGCCGCGGGGACGGCGGGGACACCCCCCGCGCCCGGGTAGGGGGGCTGCGGGAGGGCCGGGCGTCCCTCGCACAGGCAC